TATAGGCAAAATGAAAGGTGCACCACCAAAACAGAACATTGTATAACTACAGTAATCTACACTACAGGCAGTTACAAAACAATATATAAAACTATATATTATTCTGACACGCCCCCATAAGTGCCTGTAGGGAAGAATGTGCAGTCAACGCCCCCATAATGGGGTACACCAAGAGTGCGTAGCAGTACGGGAGAGGGCAGGCAAGGAGGAGGAGAGAGAGAGAGGGAGAGAGAGGAGAGGAGGTGATAGGCTCTGGTTGGTCACCACATACATCCCCTCATCCTCCCCCTCCCCCTCCCCCTCCCCCTCCCCCTGCTGCAGGAGCAGCAGAGGGGGGGGACAAACAGAGGAGAATGGAGCCGTAGGGCCAGGGGACCACACTCACCCATCACCCCCACACCCGCCACCCCCAGTCCCTCCCCGGGCTCCCCACACTCTCACACCCTCCCCCCCAGCGGCAGCTGCAGCAGAGGGAACAAAAGGAGGAGGAGAAAGGGGTGGGGGGGGGGAAGGGGGGGGGGGGGGGGGGGGCCGACGCACGGCCTCCCCGGGCGCCAAAGCAAGCGGCAGAGGGGGCGACGACTCCCGCGGCCCCCTCAGGTCGCCTCGACAGGTGACGGGAAAAGGGGGGGGGGCAGTGCACGTGCCCCCGGTGTGCCTCGGCTGGCGATAGGGCATGGCCGGGGCGGGGTCGGGGCCGTAAGAGGGCGGGGCCGCAGGTGGCATCGGGGCCTGGGGCGGGTACCGCACGGGCGGCGACGGGCCGGGACGGGCGGCGACGGGCCGGTACGGGCGGCGACGGGGCCGCAGCGGACGGCGGCGCGTCGTACGGGCGGTACGTGACGCCGCGAAGGGCGGCGACGGGCAGCAGTGACGGGCGGCGAGGCCGCGACGTAGGGCGGCGGGGCCGCAGGAGTAGGGCGGCGAGGCCGCAGATTAGGGCGGCGGGGCCGCGAATCAGTGGCGGCGGGGCCGCGACAGCAGAGAGGCGGCGAGGCCGCGACAGTAAGGCGGCGGGGCCGCGACAGCAGAGGGCACACCACGGGGCGTGCAGTACACTCAGTAGCAGCGGAAGCAATAGGCCAGGATCGTAACTCTCTCTGATAGCATGAGAAAATAAGTAGGTGAATGCTAGCAAGACTTGAGCTAGGCTAAGGAGCCATAGCTAGTTAGGAGCCTTGGTTGATTGAGTTCGAGTAGTTTGAGAGTCGAGGAATTGGAGAATGAGAAGAAGTGGTTTCACTATAGAGCGAGCAGTACATATAGGCAAAATGAAAGGTGCACCACCAAAACAGAACATTGTATAACTACAGTAATCTACACTACAGGCAGTTACAAAACAATATATAAAACTATATATTATTCTGACACGCCCCCATAAGTGCCTGTAGGGAAGAATGTGCAGTCAACGCCCCCATAATGGGGTACACCAAGAGTGCGTAGCAGTACGGGAGAGGGCAGGCAAGGAGGAGGAGAGAGAGAGAGGGAGAGAGAGGAGAGGAGGTGATAGGCTCTGGTTGGTCACCACAGGGTCATCACGGACAGTCACAGTACAGTACCTCGCTATCACGCATGATCACAGCGCTATCACGCTTGGTCACACCTCGCCCCGCAGGGTTATCACGTTTGGTCACTCGTTGAAACGCCCGCCAAAAAAACGAAACTCCAGAAGCTACTATATAGATTTGAGAAAAATTATCCCGCGCGCGTTTTGTTTCTCGCGAAAAACGTGATGTGACAGCTAAAATACACTCAGACCTTGTTAGGAACTGATGCCGGATAATCCAGAGTCTGCATTTTACAGTGAATCACCGCCATCGATAGCAGTTGCGATTTTACCATTAATCAATTGTGAATGATACCTTGACATTTTTGCTTGCTCACCCAGTAATAAATAATTCAAGTACAAAGTGTAATTTGTATATCAGACATACGTAAATCTTTAATTTGAGTAGGCATGGTTGGCCAAGGGCATGGTTGAAGTGTACAGTTCAGTTTTATGATGCTCAAAAGTTTTGGGGCGGCTTCTCCGCCCTCGGAAACTGTTCGCGACAAATATAGAAATACAAACGTTACGTATATCAAAGGTTGCAGCCAGCAAAACTTTCTCAGTAGTGTACCCGTGCAGTCTTCTTGGCCAGAACGAATTCATCCAACTCTGGGGCTCGTTGATGGTGCCAGCCAGCCAGCCCTCTTTCCCGCCAGAATACACACGATGCCCGGTTGAGCCCCCCATACTTGCCTTACCCTTTGAGCTTATAAATGGTTCTTACATTTCGCAGAGATTTCGTCAATTCGCGTCATGCAAAAAGGGCTTATAAAAAACTAATGTAACTCACCGTAGACGGTTTGACTGCAGTCTTTTCAGTCACACTTCAGTTTTTGTGGTTCGTATTGGTCGACGTGCTTGTACCGTGGGTGCAACCTCACGGCACAAAACCCACGGTTGCAATGTTTCCATCCGGTACAAGGCAATATCGCATGCAGGGGGTGAGCATCATGTGTACTCTCTTCCCCTCCGACTCACTGGCAGCTTCGTCATGGCAAAAGCATCAACCACGACAGGACTTCCTCGACGTTTGCGCTCTGAACAACATTCGGGCTCTGTTCCGCCCACCTCACGATATTTTGCAGTGGGGGGTCTATCGTCGTGACATCTCGACTTTTCCATTCCATGCCCTCCACCACCACACTCGGGAAAAATCATGTGGCTGTCGGCCATACACATAGTCCTTGCCAATTTCACTAGGGCCAATTTCACCCCCTGTGTATTCGTTTTTAATTTCCCCAAATTTGAAGCTTGTTTCGAATAATTTGGTTTTAAGGAAAGCAATGACTGGGACTGCGCACATGAGTCAGCGGAAAAAATAAAATAAAAAAATACATGGTCGCAGCAGTAGATCCAGACTTAGCGTTGCGGTCTCAACGTCTAATGGGGCAGCATCGAAACTTACAATGCCTCGGATAGCCTCTAGTTCGTGGGTGATTGATACCTATAACCAAAAAAGGTCAGTCTGGTTTTAAGGAATAACTAACGGGGCGTGAAATTGGCGAGGACTCGGTGTACCATGCGCCCGCTGCTGGTTCAGTCGGGCTGATATACCTCAGCCGACGAAAAATGCCGCCCAATTTCGCGGTTCAGAAGGGACAACGGCCCCCCTCGGGATTGACGAGCTCGTGACGACCTCCGGGCTCCAAACTGGGCCCAAATGGCGTCCCAGGGGCCTCGGGAGCCCTCGGGAATCTCGACAATGCGACGACATACGTTTGCGCTGGGAGATTCCTGGGAAGTAAATCTCAGCGGACAAAATAGGAAAGCTCGCCACGTCGAGCCGCGACTGCCGCCACGCGGACCAATAGGGGGGAGCCGGACCGTCCCCACCGTGTACTAGGCTGCCACGACGTGGCCGTCGTGGCCACGCGTCGCCCCAGCGGTGATTTTCCCAAAGCGGGAAAACATTCACACCTTTGAAAATGGGCCAGCTCGATCCACGCGGCAAAAATCGGACCGTCTTGGATGTAACTGTTCTGTGGCATCGCATGTTGCATGCGATGTCGGTGTCGACAAGTACATCCAGAGGCCCACAACCAACCCACGCGGCACAATCCCAACGCTGTCTATGTTCAATGAACCTAAGGAAATAACCAAGCGCGCCGAATGTAAGTCGGCGCCGATCTTTGGGCGCCCACGGTAGGACTGCCACGGTGGGATTCAAGAATTCCGGAACCCTGGGAGATTCGAGTCTGCATGCAGTAATTTCGGTACTGAGAGGCCAATGTCGGCCCCAAGCCACATAACACACGCCCATTCCACCGTGGAAAGGGCCTGGCTTACGCCCCTTCGGTGCAGCGCGAAGTCACAATAGCCATGCTTGGCGCGTGGCACTTCGGGCAGTGCGCCGCCTATGCGAGAACACATGCACGGCGGCAGGAGCATAGGGGTGTGCGTGAATCGCGGCAGTGTCGGAGTCGCTCAGGACCATACCCGTCCGTGACCGTGCGGGCCTGCTCATTCCCATGTCCGTTCCTGCGTTTCTTCCTGCTCTCTCATGCACTTAGAGTTTTCAGCTGCCAGTAGGTTACTCGGTTGCCGACTTGGTCATTAGACGTCGACGTCGACGTCAGTCGGCGACGCATGGCCAGAGGTCGCCCTAGAGCACAACAGCCGCAACCCATTCCACCCCCTGCCGACTCTGTAGACGCCGACATCAAAGCGCAGTTGGAACGGCTCGATGTCGAAGCCAAGTTAGACGCACTTGAGCGAGAATTCGAAGCAAACCGCCGCCGCACAACTCTACGCGCGTTCACCGCACCCGTGACTCATTACCGTCTCTGATTTACTGACCAAAACAATAACGAGGTCGAACACGAGTTAGACGTTATTGAACGTTATCTAGAGGAAGACCGCCGCGCTGCTCTTCGGTCGTACACCGCACTTGTGAATCAGTACCGTCTCTGGTTTACCGACCTCCGCATCGCAAACGGACGACGGTAGAGCAACATACGTGCTGCCACATGGCCGACGTCGACATGACTGACGCTAGACCATCCACCGACCACAGTCCGACATCTACCGAGGAAGAGACGCTCCCCTTCTCTAGGATCTTGACAAGCTAACGCAGATTCCGGAAGGGGAGTTCACCAAGGACATTCCCCCACCGCCGATCGGGGAGTTCAACAAGAAAAAGAAACAGAATCCGACGCGAAATGGACGGCCAGGAACTTCGTCGGCAACGGCCGGCTCTGGAAACCAGGTTAAGGTCGAAGAGGAGGAGGATGGGGGGGAGGAGGAGGAGGAGGAGGAGGAGGAGGAGGAGGAAAGCGATGACGAAAACGACGATCGTCCGCCGCGTAGCACTGGTCAGCGCACCTTGGAAGAACGGCTCAGGCGGGAACTTGAATACATAGATGATCTGCTCGAAGAGGACGAGGATGCCGACCAGGAGAACTTGTCGGTGCCGCGCAAACAGTGGAGGGCGGCAGACTTCGTCGAGGAAGACATGGTGTACGCGACCATCGACGTGCTCGTCTTGGACGCCCTACGCCACTTGCAGACCGTGGAGAGGAACAGCAGGCTGAGGCAGTACACCTCGTGGATCTATCACTACAAGAGGTGGGCGGCGAAGATGTTGATGCAATTTTACAACATGCTTCCCCAGGAGTACATGCTTAAGCGCGTCGACGAGATAGGGCACTACATCCAAGACAAGAAGAAGAAGAAGAAGTGGGACCAAGAGGTCGATGTCCCCCGGTCGCACGTGTGGCTGCACGGCCCTAGGGTCACCACGTCTCGGCTTCGCGCATACGTGAAGTACATGGTTCGGGAGATGAAGCTCGATGCCGAGTCCAGCAAGGAGGGCAACAACGCCACAGGAACACAGCCTGTGCAATCTACAACGGTGCACTCGCTCCTCGGGTGCATAAAGGCATGCCAGATGGCGGCGAGGGTGAAGGCGACGATATACCGGGAGACGGAGCTGAGCATCATGCGTGAGATATTGGTGGTCAGGTCGGAGGTGCGGTTCATGATCCGCACCAAGAACGAGCGGGACCTCAAGTGAGTTTTTGTTTAACCTCTGTCGACCTCTCGCCAGTTCGCCGACCCCACCCGGTAACGTGGGCCGCTGTTCACTCTCGGAGCGGGGCTGTGGGGCGGCGGTCGTGCGCTCGGCCCCGCCCTGGGCCAGGCTGGCAGGCCCGCACGCGCGCCACTCGCCCGCCTCGTCATTTTCGGCTCCGACGACCCCCCTCGACGACACTGGCAAAACCGTTCCGACGACCGAATTCCGATGAGGCTTTCGGTACACTTGCCATTATACACCTAACCACCGCTATTTTCTTTCGGTCTATTTTTAACCCCACTTGCACAAGTGGGGTATGCACCCTTTCTAAATCTTTGACCGAGAATTGTGTGGGGCATCATTAAATTTTAGCGAGGGTCTGTTCCAGATCCCCGAAGAGAGTACTGTAGAATTGCGCTATGGATTCAGATTCGCATAATGAGTTTAAACTTCGAGCATTAGGCGTCATTCATAGTCCCAGTCAAATAAGCGTCGAACTGAAATAGTCGAAAACGTGCAGGGTAACTTTGAAACGCGAGATTGGTGGGTTGGGTTTCCCCTTGAAAATAGCGGTGGTTACGACAATGTACTGTACACATGGCTGACAGAGTATCAAACCATGTATTGGCAGGCGTTGACAATTGCGGTGACAGTTGAGGCGAGGTGGCTTGCGCCGTACAGGTTCGCCATTCGCAAACATGGTTGGGGCGTGTAAGCCAAGCCAGACAAGAGGTCCGCCCCTCCACCCCAGCTTCAACGTCGCGTTGCGTTTTTCGCGCCATCGCAAGTTCCAAGAGAGGAAACGGTGGATGTCGACGACGATCAAGCTCGAATGCCCCCCAAAAGCCATCCCCGAAAAGGGTTTGGACGCGGCTCTTTATGGTGCAGTCTAGAATAGCATGGTTGCAGTGCGGTGAAAAGTCCGCTGCGCTGGATTTCGTTTAACGTCGCGTCGTGTGCACGACGTCGTTAGTTTGCCACCCATGCCTCCCAACCATGGATGTCGGTGTGTGAACACTCTCTGGTTGACTACAAACCCTTTCTGTTCATGTCAATTGGTGTAATTAAAATAAATCTTGGGGGTTGGAAAAAATCTCTCGTAATAACTCAGTGCAGATGAAAAACTGCCGCATCGCTCGCCGTGAACTGCGGGTTGATTTGGGGGGCACGTGTCATCTCTGTGTTGCGATTTTTTTACGGATCGCGTTTCCCCTCTATCTCATAGCCTTGGCTCGTGTCGCTGACGGTCTCGTCGACTGCCATAGCCTAACGAATCCAAGTAAGAGGATTCGCTTTCGCCGATCTTGGTATCACTGCCGTTTAGGGTCCTCCATCATTTTCGTTCCTGCCCTAGATGTTGCCGCCAACTGTCCGACGACAAAGCTGCATCTTTTTGGGTTTCGTTGTTATCCACTCAACTACCTTTTAAGTTTTCGTTTCGCGGTTCCCTTCCAAAATCCCCCTCGTCTTTGTCCCTCAGGTGAATCGTCGAACCTCTTCTCAAACCCAAGCTTCGATACAAGCTGTCTCGATATAGGATGGCGTCGCAAGAACCTGAACGCGTCGTGTCACCCATGGGCGTACTTATTTCCGTGGCGTGCGTTAGAACCTGGGGAAACATCCTTGAACGACAAGGTCTTAGCCACCGCATCTGGCGGCGAAAACCGCGGGCCATTCCTTGCGCTAGATGCTGCGACACAGGCGGAAGCGATTGCGACAGCAGGAGGGGCGGCGGCGTCGCCTGCTGACGTGTCAATAAAGGACGGGGTCACGGGAGTCACGGACACCCTACTGGCAGCTGACGGGTCCCGTTTTTTACGGTTATCTTCCGCCTTTTCCGCGTCTTCTAGTGGCGACGGCGCTTCTGGAAGTAGCAATAGCAGTAGCGCGTATGGCGGACCAGGCGTGGCGCAAGCGCTGTGCGCGCTTAAGCCCGCGGCGCCGACCAGCAATGTCTCGCAGGAGGCGCAGCATCAGCAGGCCCCGCGCCAGCTGTCCCTCTCGTTCTTTGCGCGCGCCAGCCTGTGCACGGAGGGGGAAGGGCGTGCGGAAGGGGCCGCGGAAGGGGAGGCGGAGCGGCTGTTGAAGGTGCTGCTGCTGGCAGTTCCGCTCAACGCTTCCGCCGCCGCCGCGGCAGGGGGAGGGGGAGCAGCAGGCGGAGCAGCAGCAGCTGCGGGAGGGGCGGAGGAAGGAGGAGCGGGGGCGCAGGTGTGGGGGGAGTGGCAGGTGGGAGTGCCATGTGGGAAGAGCATTGCGAGTTTGTCCGGCGCCTTACCTTGGTTCCAAGTGGGACCCCTCCTCTTCCCCCTCCCTGACCCCCCGGGTTCTTCCTCCTCTTCTTTCTCCTCTTCTTCCTCCTCCTTTTCTTCCTCCGCCTCTTCCCCTTCTTCATTGGTAGTGCCTCGGGGTGGAGTGGCGCTGCATTTGGTGATTCGAGGTTTGCAAGGCAGTAGCAGCAACAGCAGCAGTACCAGCAGCAGCAGCAGCAGCAGCACCAGCAGTAGCAGCAACAACAGTAGCAGCAGCAGTAGCAGCAACAGCAGTAGCAACAATAGCAGCAGCACCAACAGTAGCAGCAATAGCAGCAGCACCAGCAGTAGCAGCAACAGCAGTGACACCAGCAGTAGCAGCAGCAACAACAACAGCAGCAGCAGCACTAGCACTAGCAGCGATACCAACAGCACCAGCAGCACCGGCAGCGGCAGCAGCAGCACTAACAGCACCAGTAGCAGCAGCAGCAGCACTACCAACATCTTCCCCACAATCAGCGCTGGCGGAAGCACTAGCATCGACAGCAGTAGCGTCGTCATCAGCGGCACAGGCGGCAGCAGCAGCAGCGGCAGCGGCAGTGGCAGCAGCAGCAGCAGCGGCTGTGCTGAAGCTGACAGCACGGGGAACAGTGGGTTCACCATCAGTGGATTCACTAGCACCTCCTCCTCTGGCCTCCTAATCCGATCAGCGGCTCACCCACACCCCTCCCTGAAAAGCCCTATCCGGTTCCCCAGACTAAACCTGTCTGGCCTAAGGGCCTGTGGTGGGTCACAGCAGCCTCGGACCCTTGGGTTGATTCGGGCTGCAGGAGCGGGGGAAACAGAAGCAGAAGCAGCAGCGCCGGCAGTGCAAGCAGCTGGGGGGATGGCAGTAGGGGGTGCGGTGTCTGTATCCCCGAACGTGGCAGTGGCAGCAAAGGGTGTGGGGGAAAGGCCTTTATCCCAGACAGCACCAGCAGCGGAGGGTGTGGGGGGGAGACCAGCACAAGCAGCAGAGGGGGGTGCGGGCGCTGTTACCCCAAGTGAGGCAGTAGCAGCGGTGCAAGCAAGTGGTGGGATGGCGTCAAGTGGTGCTGGTCCTTCATCCCATACTGCTGCACCAGCAGCAGAGGGTGTGAGGGAAAGACCGCCATTAGCACCAGCAGCATCCGGTGTTGCTGGGAATGCGGGAGGAGCAGGAGGGGCAGGAGGAGTAGGAGGAGCAGGAGTGGCGGAGTCGGCAAGTCCAAGGAGAGTGGGAGTGGCATCGGAGGCAGGCAGCATGGCCGTTGACCTTGTGTCTGTCATGTCCACCCGCAGTGAGTCTCAGAGAGAGCAGGGTAGGTTGACGGGGAAAGGGAGTTGCAGACAGGCGGTTGGCAAGAGTGGGAGTGGCGTCGGAGGCAGGCAGCATGGCCATTGACCTTGTGTCTGTCATGTCCACTCGCAGTGAGTCTCAGAGAGAGCAGGGTAGGTTGACGGGGAAAGGGAGTTGCAGACAGGCGGTTGGCAAGAGTGGGAGTGGAGTCGGAGGCAGGCAGCATGGCCATTGACCTTGTGTCTGTCATGCCCACTCGCAGTGAGCCTCAGAGAGAGCAGGGTAGGTTGACGGGGAAAGGGAGTTGCAGACAGGCGGTTGGCAAGAGTGGGAGTGGCGTCGGAGGCAGGCAGCATGGCCATTGACCTTGTGTCTTTCATGCCCACTCGCAGTGAGTCTCAGAGAGAGCAGGGTAGGTTGACGGGGAAAGGGAGTTGCAGACAGGCGGTTGGCAAGAGTGGGAGTGGCGTCGGAGGCAGGCAGCATGGCCATTGACCTTGTGTCTGTCATGCCCACTCGCAGTGAGTGAGAGAGGCAGCAATGAGTGAAAGAGGCAAGGCGAATCGACCTTTCAGTGAGTGAGAGATTCAATGCTTGAGTTGACTCAAAACTCGCCCCAACCTAAACGTTGCAGTGAGTCAGTGAGTCAGGGAGGTCGCGGCCAAATTATTCAGTGTCTCACTGTCAACGAGTCAGCACAAGTTAGCTTGCGTGCCAGTGGCTCTTTCTTGCCGAAATTCCCTGCGCTGCTCTGGTGCAATGGTCAGTAGCGTCATTTTGTTTACCATTTCGCACTTCCCTTCGGCAACCCCTGTTCCTCTTCCCTCCTGCTCCTCGTCCCCCTCACGCCATCCCCCCCACTTCCCTGCAGCCAACCCCTCCCCTCTCAAGTCCTTCACCCACTGGCCGCTCTCCAGCTCCCACCCGCTCCTCACAGCCGGCTCAACACGCCGCAACCGCTCCTCCCTCTCCCTCACCACCCTCTCCGACCTCAACGCTGCCGCCCTCGCGCTGCACCCCACCCCCTTCGCCCTGCTCGCCCCCGCCACGCCCTCCTCCCCCTGCCGCCCCTTCTCCTTCTCCACCTCCTTCTCCTTCCGCATCTCCTCCCCCAACGCCGCCGGGCTGGGCGGCGAGGGCTTGGCGTTTGTGATGCTGCCGTCTCCTACCCTTGGCTTGCCGGGGCCCTCCCTGGGCTACGGCCGCCTGCTGCTGCCCCCGGGGAGTACGACTGGTGCTGATAATGCCAGTGGCGTGTCATCTCAGGTATGTGTCATCTCTAAGTACGTGTCATCTCAGGTATGTGTCATCTCAGGTACGTGTCATCTCAGGTATGTGTCATCTCCGGTACGTGTCATCACAGGTATGCGTCATCTCAGGAACAAGCTCCTTGGCATTTTGCATCGTAACTCCCAATGCCGCGAGGCTAGGCAGGCGGGGAGGAGGGCATGGCGTTGTGTGGTGATTTTTTTTCTTCGCCCTCATTAGCTCAGCTGGCAGGGGGTATATGGTCATCTGCTCCAACTCTTCCATCTCCTGCCTTCCGTCTTTCCAGTTAGTTTTCCAATGGTCTCACCCACTATGCTCGTCTTTCTCTCTTGTTCTGCAGTTTTGCTCTCTTGCTCTTCTCTTTCTCTTCCGCTTCTCTCCCCCTCCCATCCTAGCAGCACAGGAGCCTAGCAGTGGAGTTTGACACGGCCTCTTCCCCCGAGTTCTTCGACCGGCCCGACCACCACGTGGGGGTGAACCTGCACGGCAGCATGCTCTCTCTCGCCTCTGCCCCGGTGCACCCCCTCGGCATTCCGTCCCTCAACGCCGGTCAGACCCTCCTCGCCACCATCCACTACAACGCCTCCTCCTCCCTCCTCACCGTCTGGCTCTCCCCTGCCCCCTCCTCTTCTGCTTCTTCCTCCTCCCGCTCTTCCGCCTCTCCCACCTCTTCCTCTCGCTCCCTTGGTTTTCCTCGCTTTCTTCGCTTCCCGCGCCCTTCCCGCTCTTCCTCCTTTTCCTCCTCCTCAGCCTCCTCCCACTCCGCTCCCCCTCTCCCGCGCTCGGCCGTGCTGACCACATTCCTGGACACCTGCGAGTGGCTGGGGGGGAACGACCCGGAGGCAGCAGCGCCCCACCCGCTGCTGTTTGTGGGATTCACAGCGGCCACGGGCAAGGGGGCGGAGAAGGCTCAGGCACACGAGGTGCTGGGGTGGACCTTCCAAGTGGGGGAGGGTGAGTTGTTTGGGAGTGACTTTTAGAGGTGCCAGGGTGGAGGTTTGACGTCGGGGAGGGTGAGTTGTTTGAGTGACCTTAAGAGGTGCTAGTGTGGAGGTTTGAAATAGGGGAGGGTGAGTTGTTGGGAAATTTCTTGATAATCATACAGCCGTGGGAAGGGATGGGATGGAAAAGGGGGCGGAGCAGGTTCAGGCAAACAAGGTGCTTGTGTGGAAATTTCAAATCGGGGAGGGTGAGTTTTAGTCGAGTGCCCTCGTCCCTGTTCTTGGATCGTTTCGTGTGTTTCTTGACACATGCAAGTGGGCCGGGGTGAATGAGTTGTCAGACATCTAGCACAAGGCATACTTGATTGTTCCTAGGGAATTAATATGCTCGCTAGCCTGGGGGGTTATGGGCGCACTGACCCGCTACTTAACAAGCCCTTTTTATCCCAATGGTGAGTGGCTGGGATTCTGACATGGTATCAGAGCGAAAGTTTTGGGTTCGAATCCTCATGTGTGCACATGTTTGCGCTTTACCCTCTGTCGTTTCCTAGGACTTTCTTGTGAGAGAGGGTGTCAGAAGACCAGCACTGGGGGTGCGCTTTCCCCTCACTGATCCAGCACTGCATTATTTCCCTGTATTTTTTTTTCATAACCCTTCCTCACTGTCTTTGCCCTCCGTCACTTTTTCTGAACTGAAACCCTCCCTTCCGCCCTCTCCCCTTATACCTTACTGTGTCAACTCCCCCCTCCTTCCCCCCTCCACCTCGTCTCACATACCATGCCAACCCCAGCTGCGGAGGATCCGCTTCCATTTTGGGCGGCAGACTCGTTCTCCTTCCCCTACATCATGCCAGCCACTCCCCTGCTGACACGTGGCAGCACACGAAGGCGTTTCTTCGCCGCCGATCTCTCCGTCGCTGCTGACGTGGCATCATCCACCGGCACCGGCCAATCAGATGAGCCCGCCCCTGGAGCCCTCTTCTTCCCTCGCCGTCTCCCCCTCATCTACTCCTCGTCCTCCCCTCCCTTCCCTCCTCCCTTCCGTCCTCCTCCCTTTCCTCCTCGCACTTCCCCCCGTTCCTCTCCTTCCTCCTCCTTCTTTCCCCAGCCCACAGCAACCGAACCCCCAACCTGCATGGCTCGCTCCTTCACCTTCACATTCGGCTTTTCCATGAATACATCCGCTTCCCATGGGCTCGCGTTCGTTATAAGCACACATGCGACCCTGGGCCTAGGCGGGGCTTATATGGGGTACGGCCGGGACCCATCCTCGCGACTTGCTAATGGCAGCTGGCCCGACGGCGCCCGGAGTGTTGCTATCAAGTGGGACACTGTAGCAGACCCAGAAACAGGCTATATAAATAATCTAAGTAATACTAGTAATATTAATCATATAAATAATATAAATAACATACACATCGGCATCAATACCGATTTCAACATGACCTCGGTTTCCGCTAAGAAGGTGTTAGACGCTATGGAGCCTGAGGAGGTGTGGCAGATGAGGGTTGACTATAACGGGAGCAGCAAGGAGATGCTGATCAGATGGTACCGCCCCCCTGCACTACGAGGCAGCATGAATGTCTCTTTTGACCTCTGTGCCGCCCTCACTGGAGCCTCTGTTGACTCCAGCGGAAGCAGCAGCAGTGGCGGTGGCGACAGCAGTAGCAGTGGTGGCGGTAGCAGCAGCAGCAGCAGCAGCAGCAGCAGCAGTGGCGGTGGCAGCAGCAGCAGCAGTGGCAGTGGCAGCGGCGGCAGCAGCAGCAGCAGCGGCAACAGCAGTGTGACGGACCTATGGTCGCCATCCTTTGGGCAGCTGTTCGTTGGGTTCACCAGCGCTGCTCTCCCTCCCCCCCCTGGCCGCCTGCCCTCCCCCGTCGCCCTCTCCTCCTGGACCTTCCGATTCACAGGTAGAGGGGGGAGGGGAGGGGTTGACAAGGGGGGAGAAGGGAAGGGGGGAGAAGGGAATGGGGGAGAAGGGAATGGGGGAGAAGGGCATGGGGGAAAAGGGAATGGGGGAAAAGGGTATGGGGGAAAAGGGTATGGAGGAAAAGGGTATGGGGGAAAAGGGTAAGGGGGAAAAGGGTATGGGGGAGAAGGGAAGGGGGGAGAGAGGAGAGGGGAATGGGTTGAAGGGGGGAAACGCAGGTTTGAGAAAGTACTAAAGTCGATCCAGTTTGGATCGAACCGGGTCAAGTCAAAATGCCCCTGTGGTCAAATCGAAGTGAACCGGTTCAGTTGAACCAAATCAAGTGGGGCCTAAGGGCCGAGGTTCGCCCTTGTACTCCAACCTCCTTGGGCTTGAGTAAACTGACTGACACCATTCCGTTCCAGAAGGGGGGGGACCTGACCATTTCAGTTGGCAGCGGTGGCACGGCACCCCTAGTCGAGCCGAGCCAATCTACGAGTCGTTTTTTTGTACGGAGTTTGCGTGGAACCAAACTGCAGTTCAGTTCAGTTCAGTTCAGTTCAGTTCAGTTCAATTCAGTTCAGTGGATGCTATGCAGGAGGCCCTCTTATCCTGATGTTTCAATTCGTGGTTTGGAGTGGATCAGGAAGCAAGAGACTTCCATCTTGTTGTCTTGTCTTGAATACCCTTTCTCACCCCCTCGCACTTCTTTCTCACCCCCTCGCACTTCTTTCTCACCCCCTCGCACTTCTTCACAACCCTTCACACCCCCTCGGCATTCCCGTACGGTTCCCTATGTCCCCATTCTCCTCCTGCCTGCCTCATACTTCCGCTCCACACACTCCCCATTCCCATCCTCCCTCCCCATGGACAGACACCAATCCCTGCAATGCCTCTCCAGTGCTCCCCTGTGGTACGGGTGTGTGCACCACTTTTGAGACGTCTCAAAAGTTGCACCAAGGCACCTGCCCCGTCTATCCTCCTCGTGCCTCACACCCTCTCTCTCCGCACCTCACCCTCCATCTGCCCCACACCCTTCACCCCCCCTCCCCAACAGACACCGACCCCTGCAAGGGTTCTCCAGTGCTCCCCTGTGGCACTGGCGTGTGCACCAAGGCACCTGCCCCGTGGGACCCGTCTGTCCTCCTGCCCTCCTGCAAGTGCCCCTTCAATCTCCCCTCCTTCGAACCCACCCACCTCGCCGGCCTGCCCTCCTGCTTCCCTGGTGAGACGTGGAGTGCGGTAGGCAAGAGTTGGCAGGAGGTGGAGTGCGATAGGCAAGAGTTGGCAGGAGGTGGAGTGCGGTCGGGGCCGTCATTCTTGCTTTGTGGATGACGTAGTTTGTGTGTTTGTGTGTTTTGATTTTGTTTTTTTAGCTTTCTCTAAATGTGTACTCTTGCTCTGTTTCCACTCTTCCAGTACGCCTTCTTAACCTTTCTCCATCCTCCTCCATTCCCCTTCTCCCTTCTTCCCCTTTCTCCTCCCTTCCCGTTCCTCCTCTTTTCTGCTTCCTCTGTACCGTCGCCCGTCCCCTTCCCCCCAATCCGCCGTCCTTTTTCCCCCCATCTACCGTCCCTTTTCCTTCTGTCCTCCGTTCCCTGGCCCCACCGTCCCCTCCCCTTCTCGTCCCCTCACCAGATTCCTTCACGTGTCGCCAGCTCGCCAGCAACCCATGTGCCCCGGGGGTGTGCATTGATGAAATGGACGGCACCTACTCCTGCCTCTGCCCCTCTGATTTTCCTACTCCCCCCTTCTCTACATCCCCTCACCAGAGACCTTCACGTGTCGCCAGCTCCCCGCCAACCCATGTGCCCCGGGGGTGTGCATCGATGAAATGGATGGCACCTACTCTTGCCTCTGCCCCGCGCCCTTCTTCTCCTTCTACTTCTTCCCCAAAGGCACTGCCCGCTGCCACCTCTGTGCGTACCACTTGCCCAAACGGGAAACTGTTCGTGTTTGCTTGCTTACCACCTGCCTCTGCCCCTCGCCCTTCTTCTCCTTCTACTTCTTCCCCAAAGGCACTGCCCGCTGCCACCTCTGTGCGTACCACTTACTACCTGCCTCTGCCCCTCGCCCTTCTTCTCCTTCTACTTCTTCCCCAAAGGCACTGCCCGCTGCCACCTCAGTGCGTACCACTTACTACCTGCCTCTGCTCCCAAAGGGATGTGGTTGGGTTTCTGTACTCCCTGCCAGGGTTTCGGGTTCGGGTTTAAGGGTTTAGAGAACCCTCTGCCCCTCACCTTTCTTCCCCGGACTTCCCCTCAAAGGCACTGCTCGCTGCCACCTCTGTGCATACCACCTGCCCTTGCTTGCTTACTCCCTTACCACCTGCCTCTGCCCTCAAAAGGGGACGTGGGTAGGTTTCTGTACTCCCTGCCTCTGCCCCTCACCTTTCTTCCCCCTGGACTTCCCCTCAAGGCCACTGCCCGCTGCCACCTCTGTGCTTACCACCTGCCCTTGCGTGCCAGCTTGCTAGCTTACCACCTGCCCTTGCGTGCCAGCTTGCTAGCTTACCACCTGTCTCTCTCTGTCCCCAAAGGCAGATTGCAAACTGTGTTTGCCAAAAGCCCTGGATGAGTTTCAATAGTCAGGACGACTTTTGAGACGTCTCAAAAGCCACCTGCCTCTGTCGCCAAAGGCAAACTGTGTTCTCCGAAATTCCCCGGATGAGTTTCAAGCAACAAGTTGGTTTGTGTGGTTGTTTTGATGCGTTCAGTACCCACCTTCCTATAGTCCTATGGCCTATAGCCATATGGCCTATAGCCATATGGCCTATGGCCTATTGAGTCGACTCAAGAAGCGACCCTATGCTTTACCCGTGCTTACCATGCCTACCCCATGCTTTATCCATACTTACCCCATGTTTCACCCATGCTTACCCATGCGTGCAGTGCCAATTTTCCTGTCACCCTATGGACTCACATGCCCACTCATCCTCAGTGCTTACGGGCTCACAGAGACCGAATTCTTTCTCCAAAACAAGGTGAAGAGGGCTGCGCGTTTCGTGTCACATCACATCCGGTCACGTCAGATACTATTCATGTTCTCATATGCGCCCACTCATCCTCAGCGCTTACGGGCTCACAGAGACCGAATTCTTCCGCCAAAACAAGGTCTGAACGGCTTTGGTCGGGAATGTTGCATCACTCTTATTGGCTCGGCTCATCATGCAGCAACGTGTTTTGAGTCAACTCAAAACACGCCTTATTGGCTTGTCACATCATACAGCAGCAATCACTAGATGTTTTAGATCGGTTCCATAAACCATAAACCAATCCACCCTTAATGGTTGGCTCTATTTGTGTTTGGTGGGGGCCCAACTGTAAAGGATGGACTGGATTGGCACCCCAACGCAATGACAGCACACCCACAGTGGGTTATATGGTATGCACCCACAGTGGGTTATATGGTATGCACCCACAGTGGGTTATATGGTATGCACCCACGCATGTCAGCCCAACTGTATTGTACAGCACACACAGTTTACAGGCAAACTAGCTTAGCAGTCTACAAGGTAATTTAACACCTCTCACTGCCCCTCCCTGCCCCTCACTGCCCCTCACTGCCCCTCACTGCCCCTCACTGCCCCTCACTGCCCCTCACTGCCCCTCATTGCCTCTCACCCCCCACTCCCCGTTGTTCTTTCCACCACCAGTGTTCCGCCTGACTCATCTCATCCCAGTGTCTCCTTGTTCAATCTGGCATCTCTCCCTCCCTGTTCCAACCAACCAATCCCCTCCTTCATCTCTCCCTGTTCCAGTCAACTCTATTATCCATCTCACCTTGTTCCGACCACTCCAATCCTCCTGTCTCCTTGTTCTGACTGCAGGGGTTTAAATGCCGAGCGCCCATCCCTGTAAACACAATAGTCAACGTCACCAGCCGGGCGTTCTCGCCATGCACTGCCATGTACTCTGCTAGTTATGTAAGCGCCGTTGTGTTTATTTAAGTGCCAGTGTGTTGCAGGCGGTTTTCTTTCACAATTCTCAAAAACCTTCTTGACATGCACTGCCAGGCACTTTGTTAATTATGTAAGTGCCACGTAAGTGCCAGCGAGTTGCTGGCTATTTTCGACAATTCTCAAAGAATATTTTCCCATGCACTGCCATGCGCACTGCAATCGTTTGTAAGTGCTAGCGGCACTAACAGCAGCACTAATGCCCTCTCCTCCTCCCCCATTAAATTCCCGCACCACTTTCTCCATAACCCTGTGTTTGCCTTTTCCCTATCCCTCCCTCCATCTTTCCCTTCCCCGTGTGCTGGCAGGGTGGCACGTGCGCAACTCAACCAACGCTCTCCCCTGTCTCTCCCTCATTCACCCCACCCCACCACTCGCCCCAAACCCTATGTATACCTGCCCCCACCCCCTCCATCTCCTCCCACCCCCTCCATCTCCTCCCACCCTCTCCATCTCCTCCCACCCCCGCCCCTGGTCCCGATGCGTCGGCAGTTTGGCACGTGTGGTGTGACTGCATCAATACCCTCTCCTCTTGAGTCGACTCAAAAGCCGCATCAATACCCTCTCCTCCCCCACTGTCTCTCGGCTGCCGTGCCCACTCACCCACCCACTTTTCGCCCCCGTTCCCATTCCCTTTGTCTTCCCACCCCAATGTGCCAGAGTGACACGTGTGAGTCACTGAACGCCCTCTCCTCCACTCTAGTTTTGAGGCGCCTCAAAACTGAACGCCCTCTCCTCCACTCTAGTTTTGAGGCGCCTCAAAACTGAACGCCCTGTCCTCCACTCTAGTTTAGGGGCGCCTCAAAAGTGAACGCCCTCTCCTCCACTCTAGTTTTGAGGCGCCTCAAAACTGAACGCCCTCTCCTCCACTCTAGTTTTGAGGCGCTTCAGAACTGAACGCCCTCTCCTCCACTCTAGTTTTGAGGCGCCTCAAAATTGAACGCCCTCTCCTCGACTGTCTCTCAACTGCCGTGCCCACTCACCCACTTTTTGCCGCGTTCCCCTTGCCTTGCCTACTGAACTGACCCAGTTTTCGCCCCCATTCCCACTCCCTTCGTCTCCTCTCCCTCCCTCCCTGTGTGCTGGCAGGGTGACACGTGTGACTCACTCAATGCCCTCTTCTCCACGCAGATACAGCCACTCAACCCCGCCCTCAGCTGCTCTGACGGGCCCAGGCCCGGCCAGGTGAGCAACGGTGCAGGTGGGTGCAGGTGTGTGTATGGGGGTGTAGATGGGTGTAAGTGGATGCAGCCCATAGCACATTGGGGACTTTGGAGAGATGCGGCAATATCATGAGCTGACTTTTGAGTCGGCTCAAAAGTCGAATTCGGTGAGCTGCGGCATTATCACGGTATGACATGAATTCACATCGCACTGTTTCAAATCGTATCGCATCGCGTCTAATCACTCACATCACATCACCTCACACAAAATTTAATGCATATTAACAACTCTCCCCTTCCCCCTCTCCACTCCCCTTTCTCCCCACTCCCTTCTTCCCCTCTCTCCTCCCCACCCCCACCCCCACCCCCCCCCCCGGGCTTCAGCTCCTCTGTGTAGACTTCAACCACACGTGGCTAGAATTGGGAAAAACCCACCTGGAATGCAACCACTATGCGCAAATCACCCCAACCGCAACCACAACCCCATCCCCACCCACCCCCGCTGGGATTCAACCACCCAAGTCTAAGAGCCAAGGGGCGGCAATGACTGAGCCAATCCTTCAACCACCCCCTCTTGTAGCCAACTACGCGAGCCAAGGCATGCTCGTTACTGAGCGGGGCCCTCAACCACCTCCCCTCCTAGCCAACTATACAAGCCAAGGCGTGTTAGTGACTGTGCTGCAGGGCCCGCAGAGCTGCCAGCAGCTGTGGCGGGCGTTTGCCATCTCCTCCCCCACGCGCTTCTTCCAGATGAATCCCGGCGTCTCCTGCGACTCGCTGCTTCCACACAGCCCCCTGCAGGGCAACATGATGAGCAAGGTGCGCTGGGTTGCATGGCCTGTGTGTGGGGTGTGGGGTGTGCGGTGTGGGGTGTGGGGTGTGCGGTGTGGGGTGTGGGGTGTGGGGTGTGGGGTGTGCGGTGTGGGGTGAAAAAGTGAGGGTCATGCTCCTGCCACACAGCCCCCTGCAGGGCAACATGATGAGTCGGGGGAGCTGGGCCAGGATGTTTTTGAGAATTCTTGAAACCTGAGAATTCTCTAAAACTCCCTGCTGGGCCAGGAAGGTCTGAGTATATTTTTTAGGCGCCTCAGAAACTGCTGGGCTAAGAGGGTATGAGTATCCGCTCTCTCACCTGCCTTGGGAAAAGCAGCTTTTGAGTCGAATCAGAACAAGGTGACTTTTGATACGACTCAAATGTCTGTTCGCACACTCATCTGGTATGAAAAATGGCCCCGTTAAGGGGGGTTCAAGGGGGGGAGAGTGAACCTTCTGCAGTGCCTTCATCCTTACACGCTTCTTCTAGATATCTAATATCAGCCTCTTGTGCGATCCCTTCCCTGCTACTATGCTTGCTTGCAGATTTGAGTGGCTGGCACTGACACGTGGCCGTGCTCTGGCTTTACATGTCCAACTAAGAGACGCTTTTCTAGTCGCCTAATAAATCTTTTCCTTTCCTCCCATTCCCACTGATTGGTTGACTTGCAGATTTGTGTGGCTGGCACGGACACTCGACCGTTCTCTGGTTTTATATGTGCGACCAAGAGACCGTACAGTGTGAAGCACGGGGATACATGCGGCATGTTGATCGCCAAGAAGTATCGGCGCAGCACTGATGTGTTTAGGGACCTTAACAATGGATATGATTGTACAGTGAGTAGGTTATATGCTGGCATGTTGCTTTGTTTGCCTTGAATAAGATAGGTAGTTCAATTTTGTTGGGAACAAATAAGTTAAGCGCCTCTGTCGTGTCGAAACTCAGGTCACAAAGCGAAGAAGTTCAAATCGAAGCATCGCGAGTCAACCCTCGGAGGTTAGGGTAACCGTCTGGAGGTTACGCGAAGGTCAAAGGTCAGCGACCTTTGACTTGACCAATACAGCGCGACAGCAAGGACACACAACTGACTCGACATTGAGCAGTTGCCCGAGTCGCACTGTATCGAATCGCAACAGCAAGGTAGTTTAATTACATCTATTCGTATTCCTTGTACTCTTATATAAAGCTTTGTATTTGCTTGTTTTAATCAACTTACTTTGCCCTCACATACCAACGCAAGGTGGTTCAAGGCTTTCTTATTCAACGCTTCCGCTATTACATCATCCTACTCAAACTTTAACTCTACAAAGATCCTAGGGCACCTCAGCCCAACATGGTATGAGAGCAGTTAGAGTTAAAATTCATTATTCAACACTCAGTGCATCAAAGAAGACATGTCTGCTAGAAAGGAGAGGAGCTCCTCCAACGGCTCTCCCGGTACTACCCCTACTCCACCACCTGCCTCTGGCCTAATGACAGAGGAAGGGACAACGACGAGACCAGCAGCTGGGTCTACGGAACACCCGCAAACCAAGGTGCGGGCTTCGATCCAAGCATGATGGAGAAATTTTTCTCCTTCATGTCCTTCTACGAGCAGCACCAGCAAGGAGCACCTGCGCAATCAAACAACAGCAACAACAACAACAACAACAACGTGACGCCTATGAGTCTCGATGGCTCATCCTACGCGCGCGGGAATCAACATCAACAACCCAGCTTTGCTCCGTACGAGCCCCAGCGTGGCTCCGTCAGCTTCATGCCGCAACCCCAATCTGCACCAGGACAAGAAAGGGCATTGGACGCATTGCAAGTTCAGTCGCAATTCGCGCACGTCCTAAAGCTGCAAACGACAAAGCCTTTCGACGGCAAAGACTTCTTCACCTGGTCGTTCGAGTTCGAATTGATGATGGAAGGAGCACAGATTCTCGGCTTCTTCGACGGGTCCCTGCCATATCCAACAAACGGGACACAATATGAGAAGCAACAGTACACCTATCAGTCAATGATGGCGTACACGATACTGCTAAGAAACATCACCCCGACCCAGCAGCAGAACATCAGAACCTACCGAGGCTACGGCAACTCCGCGGAGCTCGCGTACAACCACCTGAAGAAGCTGTATCAAGCAACAGACAGCGTAAATCAAAGCAAGTTAATGGCGCAGCTGACAACGATTGAAATGAAACCAGGCGAGAAAGGCATGGCTTATATCAGCCGCTGCCGCGAACTGCGCGACAAGCTTCTTCGATGCGGAGGGTCAATTTCAGAAGACGCCTTTGTCACGGTGGTCATCGGCGGTCTCGGCCCCCACTGACGCTCCACTCGCGCCATATTACGAGCACACGGGAGGATCTCCGAAGCGGCACTCTGCGCCGAAATCCACGCCGAGCAGCAGGACATGGACCTGCAAGAAGAAAGACACAAGAAGAAAACATTAGCACCGGAGTTTGCATTTCACACTCAGCGACGATACAACGGCAACAACAATCGACAACACCAAGAAGTGAAGATGGTACCTCTGTTTTGTCACATCTGCAAGACCTCGGGTCATCCTCGCACACACTGCCCGTCCCGTCATCAGTCGACGACACAACAGCGACAACTCCGACCTTCAAGTTCCCAAGTTGCTTCAACACAAGCAAATCCGACGACCACAATCCAAACTTCAACGACTTCAACTGGACAACCTGCACAAGGAGCAAGAAATATTGTCAATTGCATGGTAAAGATAACCGATTCATGCACAACAGAATCACCACCCCACTACTCACCGGAAGAAGAGCTCGACAACAGGACGCCTCGCCGCGAGTCACTCCAACCGAATCCGACATACGCCGCCATTGCTCAAAGCGAACCGTCCGGCCAAGACACTTGGTTCTTGGACAGTTGCTGCGGACAACATATGTGCTCCTCCGGGCGCTTTGTTCAACGCGAGCATCGACTCCAGCGAGAAGTAGTCATCACGGTCGCCAATAATCAGAACCTGCGCACACGACGATAAGGAGTGGTACAGCTTCAGTCACGAGAGACAAATGTCATATTACACATGTCAAAGGTACTCATCGCGGAGGGACTCGGCTATAACTTACTGAGTGTCAGCCAGCTGATGGCGAAAGGTATCCACTTGGAAGCCGACAGCACTACACAGGAGTTCAAGTTGTACCACGGGAAGGGCGGCCTCTACATCGGAAGGGCGGTGTTGAAGAACAACGTCTTCGTCCTCGATTTTGTCCCCGACGTGGGCACTGTAGATAGCGACGCCATCGTCAACTTCGCCGATTGGACACATCCCCCGGATCTCGATCCCGACTTCAGCCCGGGAGGCTTCTGGTACTCGCACACCATACATGAAGCAGAACGAACACGCGCATTAGCAACAATACAACACTCGACAGCAGCAGAGACAACATCGATAGCAGCAGAGACAACATCGGCAGTAGCAGAGACATCATCGGCAGCAGCAGAAACAACAACGATAACAGCAGAGACAACATCGGCAGCAGCAGCAGGAACAACGACACCAGTCCTCGTCGACGAAGAACCACCAACACCCACACAGCAGTTGAAACCAACTCCACGAGAAGCCCACAGAAGTGCAAACTTCGTCGCCAGCTTCTACTCCAACTCCGACGCGTATCAACGCTCACCCGGACATCGCGCTCCTGAAGACATCTAGCACGCACGCACGCACAGGACATCCGAGCAACACAGTGTTAAATAACACAATTCGAGCAGGAGTTCTAGACAAGGACTCGCTACTACTACCCGACGGCAGAGAACTTCAACGTGCACGAGGAACTTGCCTTATCTGCCCCGAAGCCGACTTACCCCATCGACCGTTTTCTTCTCACCACAACCCGAGCGCACTGACGTACGCACCACTCGAGAAGGTGTACACCGACATCCTCTACAATCGCGAACCAGGACAAGTCACCTACAACTATACGGTTACCTTCATCGACGCCGCCACTCGATATGTCTGGCATCTAAACCTACCAAGCCGCGACATGGCACTCGCAGCGTTCGCCGCCTGGCTACTAGTAGCAGAACGAGAGTCGGGAGCACAGCTGAAAAGCTTCAAGTCAGACGGAGGAGGAGAATACACCTCTCAGCGCTTCCAGCAGTACCTGGCGGAAAGGGGAATCAAGCAACTCCTCTCCCTTCCCTACGCCCATCAGCAGCAAGGTGTCGCAGAACGAATGAACAGGACTCTGCCGAACAGCATGCGCAAACTGTTACGTGGCATGCGGCTACCCAACCACCAGTGGCCTGCAGCAATGGACCATGCTGTCATGCTGCACAACTTGCTGTCGTCGTCGTCACTCCCGAACAACGCATCACCGCATCTGCTGTGGACAGGGAAGCAGGGCAGCACAAAAATGTTACGAGTTTTCGGGTGCATGGTACAGTACCGACCCCCAGAAGCACGAGCGGGAAGATTTTCACAACGCGCACAGTGGGGACTACACCTCGGCATCGAGAAAAATTACAACGCGTGGAAAATCTTCGACGTCCACTCAAAGGAAATAGTAGCAGCACGTGATGTGATCTTCTACGACCGACTCACCCTTCAAACGTACCTCGCCAACTTGCACAAGAATCAAGACCCCACAGGTGGCTTTCGTGGTGACCGAGCATTTGCCTCAGCAGCAGACGAAGCAGACTGGGACGAGCAGAACGTCGACAACGCATCTGAAGAAGCCGGGCCTCTCCCGTTCTGCTCCGTCAACGTCCCCATGGACGAAGAAAATCCTCGCGGCAGTGCCAACGCCGAAGTCTTCTATCACTTCGCCGACAACGGTTACGTAACACCTGCGACAGTCAACACAAATGAAGCAGAACGGATAGGGCCGAATTTCATACCCGATCCAGAAGCGGGAGACGAAGCAGCTTATCCCGAGGATCCAACACTCCCCCGATACTCACAGACTGGGCTGCGAATCCTCGGCCTCGTCACCGCAGTGCACGGCAACGCGCTTCCTAAGGAGTCTGCGACGGTTCAGCAGGCTCTGGGGGGGGGAACACAGGGAGAAATGGCGTGAAGCCATGGACAGAGAACTAAAGGCATTGGAGGAACGCAACACCTGGAAGGTCGTTCCCGCAAGCATGGCAAGGAACAAGACTATTCTCACTGGGAAATGGGTCTTCCGCATCAAAACGAAAGCAGACGGCACGATCGAGAAATTCAAAGCACGCTGGGTCGTGCGTGGATTCGATCAGGAGCAAGGACGAGACTTCACCGAGACATTCGCCCCAGTCAGTCAACATACCTCTCTACGAATCCTTCTCGCCGTCGCCGCCATGAAGAAGAAGAAGCTGCGACAAATTGATGTCGCCAATGCATTCCTCTACGCACCCGTCGACGCCGAAATCTTCGTCGAACTCCCAGACGGTACCCACGGAAACCCCAATCAGGTCTGTCAGCTACTGAAATCTCTCTACGGAATCAGACAAGCACCACGGCTGTGGCAACAGCACCTACACACCCGCCTTACTCGCATCTGATTTCGTCAACTACCTCACGACCAAGGGATGTACCGACTCACCAAAGACGCAGACTACATCCTGCTGATAGTCTATGTTGACGACATGCTCTACATCGGCTCCACCGACGACGTCACCCCCTGGTTCGAAGGGGAGCTGCAGAAGGACCTCACGCTCACGGTCTCTTCTACCGTCACGCAGTACCTCGGGCTCAACATCCGCGAAGAAGAAAATGCGATCTATCTAAGCGCCGAGAAATACGCCGACACGATCGCCAAGCGTTTTTCACTCACACCTACCGCTATCGCCACGCCATACCGCTACACGGCAGGAGATGACAAAGGAAAATCCGCTCCACTCAAACCTGCCGGAATACGAGACTACCAGAGGAAACTGGGCTGCCTCCTCTTCGCAGCCGTCACCTGTCGCCTGGATCTATCCTACTCCGCAAGCCAACTCGCTACCTACTTCAAGAAACCCGAAGCAGAGCACCTGGCGGAGCTCGATCGCGCACTGCACTATTTCGTGAGCACGCCGACGATCGGCCTGACTTACTACAAGGGCGAATCTACGTCAACGAAACTAATCGGCTACGTCGATGCCGACCATGCCGGCAATTCAGATAACAGGCGCTCTCGCACTGGCTACGTCTATCGTCTAGAGCCTATCGGACCTATCTCCTGGCAGTCGAGTAAGCAGGAACTAATAGCTCTCTCCTCAGCTGAAGCAAAATATATCGCCCTTTGCTCAGCCACCAAGGAAGGACTCTACCTTCGCGAGCTGCTGGAAGAAGCAAAGTTAGCCGACAACCAATCCGCAATTCGCATCGCCAACAAGAGCGGATTTGCAAACAGAACGAAGCATATCGCCCTGCAATACTTCTTCGTGAAAGACGAAATCGAAAAAGGGAAACTCGATCTATCCTACTGTCCCACGTCCGAGATGGCAGCCGACTACTTGACCAAGAAACTTGGAAAACAGAAGTTTGAGTACTGCATGCTGCTGACTGGACAAAGCCACGTCACCATCAGCGACACTCCAGAAGCGAAGGGGAGTGTTGGGAACAAATAAGTTAAGCGCCTCTGTCGTGTCGAAACTCAGGACACAAAGCGAAGAAGTTCAAATCGAAGCATCGCGAGTCAACCCTCGGAGGTTAGGGTAACCGTCTGGAGGTTACGCGAAGGTCAAAGGTCAGCGACCTTTGACTTGACCAATACAGCGCAACAGCAAGGACGCACAACTGACTCGACATTGAGCAGTTGCCCGAGTCGCACTGTATCGAATCGCAACAGCAAGGTAGTTTAATTACATCTATTCGTATTCCTTGTACTCTTATATAAAGCTTTGTATTTGCCTGTTTTAATCAACTTACTTTGCCCTCACATACCAGCGCAAGGTGGTTCAAGGCTTTCTTATTCAACGCTTCCGCTATTACATCATCCTACTCAAACTTTAACTCTACAAAGATCCTAGGGCACCTCAGCCCAACAAATTTTACCGGTAATTTGTTATTGTAAGCTAAAATTGGAATGTTACGGCACCAAGTATGGTACAATGATCGCACTGTAGCATGCATTTTGTATCAGAAGCGCGGTATGGTGCTGGCAGCAGGGTAAATGAGCCAGGTGGGCCTGATTACCCTGACTTTCAGGGTGTGTTTGTTTTTGTTTAACCTGTATGCAAACACTGTAGCAAATTTATTACCAATTCAAAAGCAGGGTTCAGGAAGGCTGGCTCTGACTGACAGAGTGCCTGAGCCATTCTTATGTACCACAAGAACCTCAAAGAGAGTTCTTGTCATGTTGTGCACATAAATAAGGCCACTCCATAAGCCTGTTCCTGCTAGACAAATCGCTCGCCCCACCTGATCTCATCAGGCCCGCCAAAGTCCCCCTTCCCCTATCCCTATCACCACTCCCTCGCTGCCAAAATCCCCTCCTGCCTTTCCCCACTCCTCCCTTCCCCACTCCACCCTGGACCAGACCCCCCTGTCTCTTCCCAAATCGCGTTCCTCTTGCTGCCGCTCCCTCCCTGCCCATTGCCCAAGTCCCCACTTGCCTGTCCCCACTCCTCCCTGCCCTGTCCAGTGCCCTGCCCAACTCCGCCCTGACCATGCCAATCACCATACCCCCCGCCCGCCCCGTGTCTTCCCGAATCCCCTTCCTCCTGCCGCCCCTCCTAACCCAAGTCTCTGTGAGCCTCCCGTCATCCTCCCCCATCGCAGCCCAAGCTCCACGCCGTTCGTACGGTACCGCTTGTCTTGTAATTAACCATCCCAGCGGCCCAAGGCCCCCTTCCATACCTCTTGAGGCGACTCAAAAGTCACCTTCCCTATCGCAGCCCAAGCTCCACGCCGTTCGTACGGTACCTCTTGTCTTGTCATCAACCATCCCCGAGGCCCAAGGCCCCCTTCCGTACCTCTTGTCTTGTCGTCAACCCATCCCTGCCCAAGCCTCCCCTCCCCTCAATACCTCGCGTCTGTCACCCCATCCCGGCCCAAGCCCCCCTTCCATACGTCTTGTATTGCCGTCGCCATGTCACCCCATCCCGGCCCAAGCCTCTTGTATTTGGCATTTACGCAGATGATGAGCGAATGAATATTAAGGTAGGCAAAGCATCATGCCAGTCCACAACTTATTCACGGTACAATCATATCCGTTATTAAGTTCTCTAAACATGTCAGCGCTGCGTCGATACCTCTTAGCAATCAGCAAGCCACACGTATCGCCGCGTGTCACAGTGTATGATCGCTTGGTTGAGCAGGTCAGGCCAGAGTACGGTCGAGAGTCGGTAGCAGCAACACAAACCTGAGAACCACCAAAAGTGGGGACAGAACGGAAGGGAAGAAAACACTTTTGAGGCGCCACAAAAGTCGTTTCACAGTGTATGATCGCTTGGTTGAGCAGGTCAGGCCAGAGTACGGCCGAGAGTCGGTAGCAGCAACACAAACCTGTGAATCACCAAGAGTGGGGACAGAACAGAAGGGGAGAACAACTTTTGAGGCGCCTCAGAAGTCGTTTCGTTTCACACTGTATGGGCTCTTGGTTGAGCATGTCAGGCCAGAGTACGGTCAAGAGTAAGTAGCAGCCACTCAAACCTGAGAGAGGCACCAAGAGAGGGAACAGAATGGAAGGGGGGAAAACGTTGAGGCGTCTCAAAAGTCGTTTCACACTGTATGGCCTCTTGGTTGAGCATGTCAGGCCAGAGTACGGTCGAGAGTCGGTAGCAGCCACACCAACCGGCAAACCACCAAGAGTTGGGACAGAACAGAAGGGAACAATTGGCCTGAATTGGTAGGTAAGGAATCGCACGAGGACCCCCCAAGATTCTTACAGCAAGTGGAGGGGAAACTGCACACTCAGTCCCCCCTCCCCTCTCCTTCACCCACCCCCCCTCCCCTTCACTTCTCCCTTATCCCTTTCCCCACCACCTCCCACCGCCCTCAACCCATACACACGGGCATTCCGACTCACCTTCCTCATCATATTCCCCTGCAGGGGGCTGTGCGGCAGCAGAGAGTCGCACGAGAGGCCGGGATTCATCTGGAAGAAGCGCGTGGGGGAGGCGATGGCAAACGCCCGCCACAGCTGCTGGCAGCTCTGCGGGCCCTGCACCACAGTCACCAGCGCTCCGTCACTCGTGTAATTGGCTAGAGGAGGAGGTGGTGGAGGGCTGGGTGTGGCTCCGGTTGCTGTTGGGGTGATTTGGGCTAAGAGGTCGCATGGTACGCGGGTTTTTCCCTGTTCTAGCCACGTTTGGTTGAAGTCCACACATAGGAGCTGAAGAGGGGGGCGGGTGGGGAGGAGAGAGTGATCCTTGAGAGAGCGACTCAAACAATCGACTTATCAACTCTAGCCACGTTTGGTTGAAGTCCACACATAGGAGCTGGGACGTAGGGGCAAGGGGGAGCGGGGGGCAAGGGGGGAGAGGAAGCAGAGAGGAGAGAAGGGTGGGAGGATGTGTGAGTGAATACCCGCTCACACCTGCACACACCTGCACACACCTGCACACACCCGCACTCACACCCACTCACACCCACTCACACCCACTAACACCCACTCACCCACTCACACCCACTCACACCCACTCTCACCCACTCACACCCACTCACACCCACTCTCACCCACTCGCCCCCACTCACACCCACTCTCACCCACTCACACCCACTCGCCCCCACCTGCACCCACTTGCACCCACCTGCACCCACTTGCACCCACCTGCACCATTGCTCACCTGGCTGGGCCTGGGCCCGTCAGAGCAGCTGAGCGCAGGGTTGAGCGGCTGTATCTGCGTGGAGAAGAGGGCATTGAGTGAATCACACGTGTCACCCTGCCGGCAGGCACATGGGCACGGGAGGGGGGGTGGGGATAGGGGGGGTGAGGGAAGGAAGGATGGAGGGAGAGAGTGAGGAAAGACAAACACAGGGTCATGGGCCCAGTAGAGAAGAGGGTGTTGAGTGACTCACACGTGTCACCCTGCCGGCAGGCACATCGGGACAGGACCAGGGACGGGGAGACGAGGGAAGGGGAATGGGGGTGAAAACTGAGTGAGTGGGCAAGGCCAGAGAGAGGAGAAGAGGGAGCTGAGTGAATCACGCATGTCACCCTGCACTCCACACACATGGGGAGGGAGGGAGGGAGGGAGGGAGGGAGGGAGGGAGGGAGGGTGGGGGGGAAGGGGGGATGGAAGGATGGGGAGAGTGGGATGGGAGCAGGCAAACACAGGGTTATGGGGTGAGTGGTGGTGCGATAAAGAGAGCAGAGAAGAGGGCGTTAGTGCCAAAATCAAGTGCCAGGGGATTACATAAATGCTGCACTTACGTAAACGCGGGCACTTACATAATTAGCAGTGTACATGGCAGTGCATTGGGAGAAAGCCCGGCTGGTGATGTTAACCAGCGTGTCTACAGGGATGGGCGCTCTGCACTGGAACCCCTGCACGACGGGCAAGGAGGGGCAATGAGGGGCGGTGACACAATAAGAGGCAATGCAGGACAGGTGACTAGAAGGGGAGCAGAATTGCAATTGTCAGTTTTTTTTCAAATAACCCAACCAGCCAGATTGCCTTTTGAGTCGACTCAAAAATCGCTGTGCTGTGCCCTGTAACCTGTTCTGATCGCCTTTTCTGAAACACGTCACAAGCCTAACCTTGTTTTGGCTGAAAAAGTCGACCGGAGTGAGCCCGTAAGTGTTGAGGATAAGCGCGCATGTGACTTTTGCGGCGCCTCAAAGGCCCACCTGACTGACAACCTTTGTGAAATCCGTCAAGAGGCTGACCTAGAGGCTGACCTAGAGGCTGACCTTGGTCTGGCTGAAGAAGTCCGCTTGGGTGCAAGGTTCAAAAATACGGCAATCGTAAATTACGGTCCGTAATTTACGGTTGTAAATTACGGTGGTTTTGGCAAAAATACGGCCGTTTTTTTGTTGGACTTTTTTTTTTCTTGTTTTTTTTTTTCAGAAATTTCTAGGCAGCTTACAACGATGGCAGAGAAGCCTACAAGAAACTACACTACACTAGTTAGGCAAATCTGCACCTATTCTATTCCCTCCTCTTCCTCCAATCCTACTCCTCCAACTCCTTCTACTCCTCCGGCACTCCACCTCCTATCCTTCCTCCTCCTCCGCCTCCTCCTCCTCCTCCTCATCCTCCTCCTCCTCATCCTCCTCCTCCTCGTCGTCCTCCTCCTCCTCGTCGTCCTCCTCCTCCTCGTCGTCCTCCTCCTCGTCATCCTCCGCCTCCTCCTCCTCCACATGCTTCTTTCCTCTCCCTTTTTGCTTGCATGGCCCCTTTCCCTTCTGCTTCTTCTTCCTCTTGGAGCTCTCTCCCGCGCGCTTCTTCTTCTTCTTACCAATGCTCCCAAAGACGCTCCAGTCGATGGTGCACTCCTGCACCTCGGCTCCCTCCTCCTCCTCCTCAGCCCCATCATCAACCGCCTCCACTGGTGCGGGCGGGAGAACGGCAATGCCCTCTTTGAGGGTTCCGTCGGTGAGATCGGCGTACAACTTCGCACGCGCCTGCGTTTTGCGATCAAACGCATCGCGGGCCCTCCTCGTGAAGGCCACGAAGGTGACATCAGTCATCTTCTTGGCCGCGATGCGGTTTCGGTCGCGCCTCTGCACTCGTGCAAGGGCGGACCAGTACCGCTCCACCTCTGACGAGGTGACTGGCTGTGAAAGGGACGTCACAGCCAGCTCCTGGAGCGCTTACACTTCCCCTCCAAAAATGCACCACCACTCCGCATCCGTCATGTGTCCCCCCGCCACCAAAATCCTGGCTGCCCATAGCGCGTCATCCGACCCGAGGCGGCCCTCCCCCTTGTGAAACTGCACCAGCTGTGTCTGCAGCTTGATGCGCTGGGCAACATCCCCCACCCGGGCATCAATCACCTCGTTGGCCCCCTTCCTCACCTCCGCATCCGTTCTCACCTCCCCCGCATATTGGTTGCGGGGATTAAGAAGCCATCCGAGGGCATGTAGGGAGTTGCGGAGTTGCCCGTCCCAACGCTTGGCAAGGATGCCCTTGATGGATGTGATGAAGGAGCTCTTGTCCTTGGCCAAGAGCAGACCCGTCTTCTTGACGAACACCGCCGCTGCTCATGGTGAGAATGGAGGTGGTTTTCGTTAATGTAGGGATTGGCATGCGCGGCATGATCTCGCATCACAGTTTTGGATCAAGGAGTAGGAAAACCAATAAATAGCCTTGCACTTACCGGCGGCCTCTGCAGCTACCCGAGTCTTGACCGTGATGTCAATCATAAGGCCATAGATTTGGCCCATGATTTGCGCCCGCGTGTCATGTGAAAGATAAGAAAACAGGAATGAAATGACTAAGGAAAGATTGGGTACAAATACAACCCTGGAAACCCTGTACCCCATATGTGCTACCCCACTATAGCCTACAGCAACTATCTCATATAAATCTGACACACCCCCATAGGCAAAGTGGGGGAGAACAAGGGGTCACAAGACCAATCAAGCAAAGCAAAGCAAGCTCAGGGTGGATCACAAAGTCACCACACAGTCCGAGCACAAGAGTAAGGCCAGAGGCCAGTTCACATGCAGGAGTACAGACATATATACAAAACTAGACAAGCAAGAGCAGGTATATATATATGTCACAGTACAAGTGAAGTCAAGAGGAGAGCAAGTGAGGCAAGACAGGCACAAGACCCAGCTGGGTGCAAAAGCGCTGATGGTCACAAGGCGCGAGTGCCTTGGTGAACACATCAGCAGTGTTGGCCTCAGAGGCCACGTACGCAAGTCGCAACTGACCACGCTGCTGCAGCTCACGAGCAAGGAAGTAGCGGAGAGCAATGTGCTTCGTTCTGTGCTCCAAGCGCTGCTCTCGACACAAGGCCAGCATGGCCTTGTTGTCTACGTACAGCACTGGAGGAGAACGAGGAGGCTCTCCAAGGTCAGTCAGCAGGTAGGTGAGCCAGCGAAGCTCCTGTGCAGCCATGGCCCCGGCGTAGATCTCGGCCTCACAACTGGAGCCGAGAACCGAAGACGAGCGAGTAGACCGCCACGAGACAGAGCCGGAACCAAGGCTGAAGGTGTAACCCTGTGACGACCGCTGCGTAGCCTGGTCGTCAGCCCAAGAAGCGTCCGCGTGGACGGTAAGGACCACTGGACTGCGCCCTCCAAGCACTAGCCCCATGCCCGACGTACTGCACAGGTAGCGCAATACCCTCTTCGCTGCACCCATGTGCTCTGGTCTGTGTCTCCCAGGAGCAACATAGCGTGCAAGAATGCTCAGAGGGTATGCAAGGTCAGGTCGTGTGCAGGTCATCAGGTACATGAGGCAGCCAACAAGCTCTGCATACGGACCACTCGACTCTACGGACTCATCCGAAGGCAGAGATGAGAGTGAGTGTCGAGTAGGCAGAGGAGTGGCCTGAGGCGAGGAGTACGTGAAGCCGAAGCGCTGAAGGACCTGCTGCACCATGTGTGACTGAGTAAAGGTAATGGTGCGGCGTGCTCTGTCCCGAGTGATCTGCAAGCCAAGGTAGCTGCGCAGTTCACCCAGGTCTGTGCACGCGTGTCTCTTCAGCGGCTCGGACTTCACGTAGGCGAGTCCAGCAGTGTCCGCTGTGGCAAAGACCAAGTCGTCGACGTACACGAGGATGTAGAACGGCGGCAGGGAAGTGTCGGTGCGAAGAAACAGCGACGGGTCAGCAGTAGAAGGAGCAAACCCAAGAGCCGCAAGCGTAGTCCTCAGTGTGTCGTGCCACTCACGCGGTGCCTGGCGGAGACCGTAGACTGGCCGTCGGAGGCTCCACTGGGTGCCAGGAGGGAAAGTCCCAGTGAAGCCAGGTGGACGGCGAAGCCAGATCTCCTCGTGCAGGCTACCCTGCAAGAACGCAGTGCTGAAGTCGAGAGAGTGAAGCTCGTAGTCGCGCTGAGCGGCTATGTGCAGCAGCACCCGAAGAGTAGTCATCTTCGGGGTGGGAGAGAAGGTCTGAAAGTAGTAAACTCCCTGCCGCTGATTGAAGCCACGAGCAACGTACCGTGCCTTGAAGACAGGTAGAGCCCGGCGGCCGCTTCACCCTGAAGATCCACATGCCACTGACGATGTTCGCCCCATGGGGGGGAACCGCGTCAACGTAGGTGCCTGTGGACTTCCAGGAAGCCATCTCTGCATCCATAGCTGCCTGCCACTGAGAGGAGTAGGGACCCTCTACGGCCTCCGCGTAAGAACGCGGAGTCGGGATGTCTAGTGCATCCGGGTCTCCCTCAGGGGCAAGCAGTACAGACGCGAGATGAGGTGAAGCAGCCGCTAGACACTGTAACTCCTCCTACCTGTCCTCTAGGACGTCCGTGCCAAGAGCACACTCACCCCCGACGGACGGAGGACACACAGACGCAGACTCAGCGACAAGACTAGCAGCGTAGTCGAGACGACAGCGAGCAGCAAAGTCGACGAGCTCAGCGACTAGAGCAGACGCAGCAGTGGACTCAAAAGAGGGGTCAGTGACGACAGTAGCAAGCAGACGCGTGACAGTAGGACTGGCAGCACGAAGAGAGTCCGACTCAGGGTCGGCAAGCGCAGGAAGAGAGGACTCAGGAGGAGAAGGCAAAGGGGCACGCAGAGGAGCAGTGGACGGACGTAAAGACATCCGGTGCGTGCCAGGGACAGGAGGAGGACGCTGACGCGAACTGCGACCTCTAGCGCGAGCAGCACGAACAGGCGACGCGGGACGAGACGCAGGCTCACGACGCTCAGCAAGACCTCCAGTAGGACCGGTGTAAGGAGAGGGAGCAGGCAGTGGAGAGGAAGGCTCCAGCAGGGACTGCGACTGGACAGGCAGTGGACCCTCTACTGGAGGAGAAAGACCAAGAACCTGCTGCAGAAGCGGAACGAAGTACGGCCGAGGCCGCGCGGCAGCTCCAGACTCAGCAGGGACAGCACCAGCACCCTCAGCGACAGCACCAGCGCCACCCACACCTCCAGCGGCAGGACCAACAGCAGTAGGCTCAGCACCAACGCCCTCAGCAGCTCTAGCGCCAGAAGGACCCGCAGGTCCAGCAGCTCCGGGACCGGCAGCACCCGCACCCTCGACGGTCGAAGAAGCTCCAGCTCCAGCTCCAGCAGCACCTCCAGACTCAGCAGCACGCCTCCAGCGGCGAGCGAACCACTCGCGCAGCTCCTGTGGAGAGAGGGGCTCCCGGCGAGACGCAGCAGCAGGAGAAACCCCAGGCTCAGCAGCTCCAGACGCAACACCCCCAGGCTCAGCAGCTCCCTGCTCAGCACCCCCAGGCTCAGCAGCTCCCGACCCAGCACCCCCAGACCCAGCACCTCCAGGCACAGCACCCCCCGGCTCAGCACCCCCAGGCTCCGCACCCTCCGCAGTAGCACCCTCAGGCCCAGCACCCCCAGTAGTAGCACCCCCAGGCTCAGCACCCCCGCGCACAGCACCCCCAGAGTCAGCACCCCCAGGCTCAGCACCCGCAGCAGCACCAGAGTCACCAGTAACCTCGACCGGGTCAACGGCGTCTACCTGGGACACACCTGAGGGGGCAGGAACCTGAGGGGGGAGGGGGTCTACCGGGGGGGGAACTGGCACAAGGAAGTCCGGGGGAGGGGGGAGGGAAGGAGTGCGGTAGGGGAAGAGACGGTAGAAGGGGACTGACTCGTCGAACGTGACGTCCTGGGAGGACAGAACACGACGAGAGGAGGGGTGGTAAAACTTCCACCCTGGGGCGTCAGTGGGGAAGCCAAGGAAGACACAGGGAGCGGCTCGAGGGGACAGCTTGTCCGCAGACAAGTCGCGGACAAACGCCCGAGATTCCCAGACACGGAACACAGACGCATCGCCAACCTTCCCCGTCCACAGCAAGGCTGGGGACATCGCAGGCCGAGAGACCCGAGGGTGAAGGTTGAGCTGATGCGCCGCGTACCTCACCGCAAACGGCCACAGAAAATGGGGGCCAGCCGCATGCATCATGGACGTACGAGCGACATCCATGACCATGCCAATGCGGCGCTTAGCAATCCCATTTTGCTGTGGTGAGTCCGGAAGCGTGAAGGTCTGGCGGATCCCCCGTGCACGACAGTAGTCTCGCAGAAGGCGAGAAGAGAACTCTCCGCCTCTGTCCGAGTGCAGACGCAGAACAGGAAAGTCCGAGCCGAAGCTCTTCCTGAGCTGGAGACGAGCCTCGCGGATCCAGTCGATCAGCACCTCAGTGACCGCACCCTTGCTGCGCAAGGGGAGGACTGTGGTGTAACGCGAGTAGTCGTCAACCACCAACAGGAAGTAGCGCTCGTGACCCTGCCCACGGACGGGGGCTGGGCCCCACACATCCATGTGAAGCGTCTGCAGGGGAGCATCTGTCGGGGGGAAGTGGGAGGAGTGAGGAGTAGCCCAGAGGCGACCCTCGAAACAGGGGACACAGGAAGGTCCTGGCCCGGAGGGGAGAGGAGGGAGAGACTGGGGAAGACCAGAGACAAGGACACGGGAAGCCATGCTCCGAAGACGGGGCAAGGAGGGGTGGCCAAGACGGTGGTGCCACAGGAGAGTCTCGTGAGACAGGAGGCGACAAGAACAGGGGGCAGACTCAGGACCTGACCGGGACGCAGCAGCAAGCACCTGACCTGACGCAGCCACCTGACCAGACGCAGGGACAGGAGGAGACTCAACGGTCAGGGTGTAGAGACTCGACCCCGGCCGCCGCGAGAACGTGGCCAGGTGTCGGCCTGTGCGTGCCTCCGTGCAGTGGGTCACCCGCTGACTCGCAGGAGTGAACTGGTGAACCCCCACATCCTGCAGGTCCGCGCCACTCACCAAGTTCGTAGAGAACGAGGGAAGGTACAGACCAGACAGGGTGCCCGAAGGGGCAGCCGGACACGGGAGGACAGTGGAGAAGTGAGACAGGACAGGACCCCCAGAGGGGTCAGCAAGGGAGACTGCAACCGGCCGGCCGAGCGGCGTAAGGGTAGTGCGGTCTCGAAAGAAGGAGCGAGAAGCCCCGGAGTCAAGTGTGAAAGTGAGGGAGGACGAGGACGACGCAGTACCTGAGAGCGCAGTCTCAGTGGCACCTAGAGCAGCAGCCTCACAAGCACCTAGCGCAGCAGTACCAATGCCCGGGTCGGGCTGGAAACACCGGTAACCCTCATTCTCCTCACTATAAGTCACAACATACATAGCAGCAAGGATAGCATCAAAATCAAGATCAAAGATCGCTACACCAGCCCTAAGAAGCTCATCCCAGCGAGGGATCTCACTAGCCCCAGGGAACTGCTGACGCCAAGCGTCCGTCAGGCGGCCAAAGCAGCGCTGGGTGGCGTGGGCACCCCCACACTGCTCACCCGCGCGGTCGCCGGAACGAAGAACGTAGGTGCAGGGACCAGTACCCCCACCCCTCTGACGCCCAGCGTACCACTCACGAAGCTGCTGAGGCGGAGGGATGTCCCGCGAGCGCTGATGCTGCTGCCGCTGCGAGCGCTGGCCACCACCACCGCCGCTACGCTGCTGGGTACCACCCCGACCAGCTCCACCTCCTCCACCACCACCGCCTCCTCCGCTGCCGCCTCCACCGCCTCCACCTCCGCCGCCTCCACCTCCGCCGCTGCCTCCACCACCACCGCTGGCACCACCACCACCGTCTCCGCCGCTGCTGCCACCACCACCACCACCCCCGCCACTAGTCCCGCCGCCACCCCCACTCCCTCCGCCGCCACCGCCGCCACCGCCACCGCCCCCTCCAGCTCCACCCGCGCCCTTGCCCCCCTTTCCCTTGCTGGAGCGACGTCTCCCACTAGGGGCAGACGCCGCGCCGACCGACTCAAGACCAAGCAGGTCGGCAGCAGCAGCAGAGGCAACAGAGGGCAGCAAGGGGGAAGGAGAGCACCCCTCAAAGATGGGGGTGCGAGGGTCACCACGAGAAGCACCTACAGCGACTATGCTCTTCTCCGCTGCGAGTAGGGCCTTCTCGAGGAGGTCGACGGTGAGGGTGGTGGGACAGACTGCGAGAAAGTGGTCCCTGACGACGCGAAGGGAGTCAGGGAGGCGCGCGACTACGTAGTAGAGAGCGATGTACATGGGGGGTGGGTTCTTGGTGCAGAACTCAGCAGGAAGGGCGGCGCGGTAGCGAGTGTCACTAGTGCGGAGGTGCGTAATGAGGTCAGCGTCAGTGGGAAAGGCAGAGAGGTCAGGAAAGAGGTAGGGAAGCATGAGACGGCTCAGTGCAGCAATGGCAGGGGAGGAGTAGCGCGCAACTACAGCGTCGTACAAGGTTTGAGCACTCTTGTACTGACTAAAGTGCGCACGCTCAGAGGTAGGGAGGTGGCGACGCACAGCAAGACGTGCAGCAGCATCGCGGGTGGCCCACTGAGAGCGGACAGTGGGATCAGCATCAGCAGCAGGAGCAGGAGAGGCGCCAGAGGTGAGGTCAAAGAGAGAAAGACTGTCAGCCCTGTCGCACTGTAAGAACAGCTGCAGGTCATCTAACCAGACCTCAAAATCAATGGCGCGACCCTCAGCGTCAAAAGCGAGGACACTAGGGGTAGCCATGGCGACGACAGCGACGCAGTGCAAGCAGTAGGGAAAGAGCTCGCAGTGACAGTGGGACTGTGCTCACCAGGCAGGGCAGGTCGTGCAGCTCTGCAGAAAGGCGGCTCGGCGACCGGGCGGCTCGGGTGCACAGCGGCTCGGTTCCCAGGCTGCTCGGCGGCTGGGCGGCTCGGGTGCAGGGCGGCTCGGCTCCCGGGCGGCTCGGCGGCTGGGCGGCTCGGGTGCAGGGCGGCTCGGCTCCCGGGCGGCTCGGCGGCAGGGCGGCTCGGGTGCAGGGCGGCTCGGCTCCCGGACGGCTTGGCGGGAGGGCGGCTCGGGGGCAGGGCGGCTCGGCTCCCGGGGGGGGGGGCTCGGCGACAGGGCGGCTCGGCTGCTGCAGGTGAGGCGGCAGGGCCGCGTGAAAGAACCGGGGTGGGGCCGCGTCAGAGCCGGCGGCAGGGCCGCGTGAGAGCAAAGGCGGGGCCGCTTCAGAGCTGGCGGCAGGGCCGCAAGAGAGCCGGCGGCGGGGCCGTCAGAGAGCCGAGGCAGGGGCCGCGTCAGGGCCAGCGGCGGGGCCGTAAGAGAGCCGGGGCGGGGCCGCAAGAGAGCCGGCGTCGGGGCCGCAAGAGAGCCGGGGCGGGGCCGCGTCAGGGCCGGCGGCGAGGCCGCTAGAGAGCCGAGGCGGGGCCGCGATCAGGAGGCGGCGGCGGGGCCGCGTCAGAGCCGGCGGCGGGGCCTCGTCGAGGCGGGCGGCGGGGCCGCGTTGGAGCCGGCGGCGAGGCCGGTTAAGAGCCGGCAGCGGGGCCGCGTCAGGGCCAGCGGCGGGCCGCGATCAGCGGGCGGCGGGGCCGCGTCAGAGCCGGCGGCGGGGCCGCGTCAGAGCGGGCGGCGGGGCCGCGATCAGCGGGCGGCGGGGCCGCGTCAGAGGAGGCGGCGGAGCCGCTGCAGAGGAGGCGGCGGGGCCGCGTCAAGCAGGGGTGACGGGGCCGCGTCAGAGGGACAGCGGGGCCGCGAGAGTAAGGCGACCCGAAGGGTCGCTAAAAAAAATGCGCGCCTCGGGGCGCGCTTCGGTGGGCCCTAAAAAAAACGGTCCTTAGGAAGGACCCGCTCTATACCATGTGAAAGATAAGAAAACAGGAATGAAATGACTAAGGAAAGATTGGGTACAAATACAACCTTGGAAACCCTGTACCCCATATCTGCTACCCCACTATAGTCTACAGCAACTATGTCATATAAATCTGACATGTCAACCACCCTTAGCACTTCATAAACCGGCGTGAGGAGGCTGAGCACCGCAGACACGCAGTCCCAAAATACGTCGTCGAGAAGAAGCGTCCGCACCTCCTGCCCTTCGGTCTTCTGCGCCACCGCCACCCCTTTCCATTCATCGCTGATGACCATCTCCGGGAGCGCCTTCTTCACCTCCAAGAATCGGCGTAGCATGATGACTTGCATGCCGAAACGTGTCGCACCCGGGCGCACCAACGAAAGCTTGGTAAAAAGCTCGCGGAATAGAACGACGGCCGAGGCGCTGCCCTTGATCATCATGACGACCCGATGAACTTGCTCCAAGACGAGTTTGATGGGCTTGACTTTCCCAAAGTCGTGAAGCATAAGATCCAAGCAGTGGGCGGCGCAATTGGTGATGAAAATCCCAGGAAACTCCACCTTAAGCTTCTCAGCCGCAGATCGGTTGTTAGAGGCGTTGTCCATAATGACCTGGACCACGAGATCTTTCCCCACTTCGGAGATGGACTTGCCGATGAGACCCGCGAGGTAATCCTCCGTTTTCTTCGCGGTTTTCGAGTCGACCATGTCCACAATGACGGGCGCGGTGTCGTTGAGGGCGATGACGCACACCATCGCGCGGGACTTCAAGCATGTCCACCCGTCCACCGAGAGACTGCACCCGGTCGTCTTCCAACTCTCCTTCAACGGCCTCACAAGCTCCTCGGCGTCCGCCCTTAGCTTGTCGAGGAGAGATCCGGACACCTTGTAAGGGGTTGGGAGTGTGTAGGGCTTCGCGTAGACGACGGCCGCGTCAACGAAGGCCTGTAGCGCACGAGACTTGGAGACGTTGAAGGCAAGATCATTTTCAGCCACAACTGTCGCCCACAGGTAGTCCAAACGCGCGCGGGCAACGGAATCCGCCATATCGCGGATGTCCCGCTGCCTAGAACGCCTTGCGGGCGGCATCTCGACCGTTGTGGAGGTGGAGGAGGCACGGTTGGAACTTGACGGTGTGGAAGACCGATCCCTTTCGGCGGCTTCTCGTAGCCGTTTGGCAAATTCGGACGGACACGGCGTCACGTTCTTCTCCTTTGAGCGAGGGGTCCCGTAGATGTGCTCTCGAATACGAGTGGCATTTGGGGTCAGGGTAGCAGGGCAATAGCTGCATGTCGCGGTAACTACGCCGTTAGGAGATGTGACCTTCGTCACGTGCTCCCACACCTCCGAGAACGGTCTAACCATGGTGGAATACTGCACTTGCTTGACTGCAGCAGTAAAATGCCTACTAAGCTAAGATGTACTTGTCGCGTAGGTTGTTTGCCCTGCTCTTTGTGCCTTGCTAGATTTGGTTGTGTTGCTTTGGCGAAAGGAAAAGGCAGAAGGGGTGGGATGGGATGGGATGGGGATTGGGCTAACGTTATTGGTTAAAATGGTTTCGCAGCGCAAAGTTCGGTTGTGTCGCGCACGCAGGCGAAAAAAACGAAAAGCTCGCGAATCGTCCCACCGACCTGACGAAACGGGTTGACGGGTGACAACGGTTCGCCAAATGTACAGTTTACCGCATCGCGCAAATTTGTATATTTGCGCTTCGGCGAAATGCGCAAACTGACATTTCGTCAAGGCAACAGAGCAGGAATCCGTTCGCCAAAAAACCAAATGTCGCGCCTCGAGAAATACCTGACATGCGCGACTCGGGAAAAAAAACCAACACGTGTGCATTTGGCCGCACAAATGTTTCTGACCCAGGGTGACGGTTGTGAAACGCCGAAATTCGCTATTGCAAACTCGGTATCAAAATTTCGGTCGTAATTTACGACCGTATTTTTGCACCAACATTAAAATACAATGATTTACCGTTTTTTACCGTAATTTACGACCGTAATTTACGATTCCGTAATTTACGGCAAAAAATCAAAAATACGGTCGTATTTTTGAACCTTGCTTGGTTGAGCCCGTAAGTGTGATGCAACATCACCTGATGTGATGTTATGTGACATGACCAAAGTCTTTCATGCCTTGTTTTGGCTAAGAAAGTCTGCTTGGATGAGCCCGTAAGTGTTGAGGATGAGAGCGCATGTGAGGCCGTAGGGCTGTGATGCGATCACCTGATGTGATGTGACATGACCAAAGTCTTTCATACCTTGTTTTGGCTGAAGAAGTCCGCTTGGGTGAGCCCATAGGTGTTGAGGATGAGAGGGCATGTGAGGCCGTATGGAGACAGGAAGGTGGGCATTCGAACCTCGATCAATTGCACTGCATGCATGGGGTAAGCATGGGTTAAGCATGGGATAATCATTGGGTAAACATGGGGTAAAAAAGAGGTAGGCAAGTCACTGCAAGCAGCAAGGCAGAGGTGACGCTTGAATTGACTCAGATGCAAGAAGAGAAGATACAATTTCATCATTCAGAAGGATGGGCTTGATATCCAAGACCAACGTGAGCACTGAGTAAGCAGATTTTTGAGACGTCTCAAAATTGTTGAGACGCCACGTGTAGAAAGAAGATTTTTGAGACGTCTAAAAAATTCAAGGTCATCATTCAGAAGGATGGGCTGGATATCCAAGACCAATGTGAGCACTGAGCAAGCAGAGCCAACAAACCAAGCTCTGTTTAAACCAAGTCCAGTGCCGCTTAAGACTAGGGCTTTAGGCGGCCAATGTGAGCACTGAGCAAGCAGAGCCAACAAACCAAGTGCTGTGCTGCTTGAGACTCGTCCAGGGATTTAGTCAGACAGCACCCTTCGAGGGCAAAGGCAGGTAGCAAGCAAGTAAGCAAATAAGCAAGTAAGCAAGGGCAAGACCAAAGTAAGGACTGAACAAGTAAAGCCAACAAACCAAGCTCTGCACTGCTTGATTTTGAGTCAACTCAAGGGCAGAATTAAAGCCCAACGTGAGCACTGAGCAAGCAGAGCGAACAAACCAAGCGCTGCGCTGCTTGAGACTCCATCCAGGCCTTTAGGCGGACAGAACCCTAAGCCCTTTGAGGGCAAAGGCAGGTAGCAAGCAAGGGCAAGTGTTACGCACACTGGTAACAGCGGGCAGAGCCTTTGGGGTAGAAATAGAAGGGGAAGTAGGGCGAGGGGCAGAGGCAGGAGTAGGTGCCGTCTATGTCGTCAATGCACACCCCCGGGGCACATGGGTTGCTGGCGAGCTGGCGACACGTGTAGGCCTCTGGTGAGGGGACGATGGGGGAGGGGAAAGAGAATTGGGGGGGAAGGGGGGGGCAGAGAGGGGAGAGAGGAGTGAGTGAGTGAGCAGCTGTCGATGCATCCCCCGGGGCGCATGGGTTGCTGGCGAGCTGGCGACACGTGAAGGTCTCTGGTGACGGGACGATGGGGGAGGGGGGATTGGGAAAATCAGAGTGAAAAGGGGGCAGGTATAGGAGCCATCTATGCTGTCTGTACACAGCATTCATGCACACCCCCGGTGCACATAGGTTGCTGGCGAGCTGGCGACACGTGAAGGTCTCTGGTGAGCGGATGGAGAGAAGGGAAGAGTAGGAAAATCAGAGGGGCAGAGGCAGGGGCAGAGGCAGGTGTAGGTGCCGTCTATGTCATCCATGCACACCCCCGGGGCACATGGGTTGGCGGGGAGCTGGAGACACGTGAAGGAATCTGGTTAAGAGAGGGAGAGAGGGGTGGGGTGGGGACGAGAATGGGGGGAGTGGGAAGAGAACAGGAGTGAGTGAACAGCACACCAGCACAACGTCAATGCACACCCCAGGGGCACATGGGTTGAGAAAGGAGGAGCAAGCGGAAATGAGGAGGAAGGGGATGAGCCGGAGAGGGAAAAGGTGGTGGGAGAGAAAGGAGAGGAGAGGATAAAAGGGGATTCTGCAGGAGCAGCCATAGTGGATTGGAGTGCACACTTTTGAGAAATTTCAAGAGGAAATAAAACAAATCAGGAAAAAAAGTGTGTACGATTGCATATTCTCAAGGGAGTTGAGAATCGAGAACGAGTGCATCCCCATACAAACCAAAAGGGTACTTAACTCCACTTACCACACTCTACTTACCACACTCCACTTACCACACTCCACCTCTTGCCTACCGCACTCCACGTCTCACCTACCACACTCCACCTCTTGCCAACCCCACTCCACCTTTTGCCGACCGCACTCCACACCTTGCCTACCCCACTCCACGTCTCACCAGGGAAGCAGGAGGGCAGGCCGGTAAGATGAGAAGGTTGGAAGGAGGGGAGATTGAAAGGGCACTTGCAGGAGGGCAGGAGGACAGACGGGTCCCACGGGGCAGGTGCCTTGGTGCATGCACCCATGCCACAGGGGAGCACTGGAGAACCCTTGCAGGGGTCGGTGTCTGATGGGGAGGGGGGATATGGAGAGCAAAGGAACGTGAGGAAAAAGGGTCTGCGGCAGGGGGGGAGTGAAGAGAGCGAGGGTGTGAGGCACGAGGATAGACGGGTCCCACTGGGCAGGTGCCTTGGTGCATGCACCCGTGCCACAGGGAAGCACTGGAGAGGCCTTGCAGGGGTCGGTGTCTGATGGGGAGGGATGAAGGGTGTGAGGCAGGCAGAGGGTGAGGTGAGGAGAGAGAGGGTGTGAGGCACGGGGCTAGATGGGTCCCACTGGGCAGGTGCCTTGGTGCATGCACCCGTGCCACAGGGAAGCACCGGAGAGGCCTTTCAGGGGTCAGTGTCTGTTGAGGTGGGGAAGCAGTGAGAGGGACAAGGAGTGGGAGGGAAGGTGTTGGGGGGAGGAGAGGTGAGTCTCCCGTAAAGCAGGTAGGTAAGTTAAGGGGGAGGGGGGGATACTTGGCAACAAGATGAACGACCCTTACTTACTTCCCCCCTGGCTTTAAGTCGACTCAGAGGTTGCCTCCATTGCTCTCTCTCGGTGCCCTCTCGCCCTCTCTCCCCCTCTAACTAACTCTTCCTTCCCCTCCTTGGCCCCTTCCAATTCTCCCCACCTTCCCTTCTCTCCCCCTCCCACTGCCTTCTCATCCCCTCCTCCTCCTTTCTCCCTACCTGTGAATCGGAAGGTCCAGGAGGAGAGGGCGACGGGGGAAGGCAGGGCACGTGGCTCACTAGCCCTTCTCTCTTTCCTACCCCCCATCTCGCCCACTTCCCCTCTCCCTACCTGTGAATCGGAAGGTCCAGGAGGAGAGGGCGACGGGGGAAGGCAGGGCACGTGGCTCACTAGCCCTTCTCTCTTTCCTACCCCCCATCTCGCCCACTTCCCCTCTCCCTACCTGTGAATCGGAAGGTCCAGGAGGAGAGGGCGACGGGGGAGGGCAGGCGGCCAGGGGGGGGAGGGAGAGCAGCGCTGGTGAACCCAACGACCAGCTGCCCAAAGGATGGCGACGACAGGTCCGTCACACTGCTGCTGCTACCACTGCTGTCACCGCTGCCACCACTGCTGCTGCTGTTGCCGCCGCTGCCACTGCTGCTTCCGCTGGTGTCAGCAGCACCAGAGAGAGCAGCACAGAGGTCAATGGTAACCCTCATGCAGGTTTTCAGAAGCGGAGGGCGGTACAACCTGATCAGCATCTCCTTGCTGCTCCCGTTATAGTCCACCCTCATCTGCCACACCTCGTCCGACTCCACAACATCTAACACCTTCTTTGCGAAAATTGACGTCATGTTGAAATCGGTGTTTACGCCGATGTGAATATCATTTATATCGGCCATTTCCGGGTTTGCTACAGTGTCCCATTCCACAGCTACACTCCGCACGCCGTCCGGCCAGCTGCCATTAGCGAGTAGCGAGGAGGGGTCCCGGCCGTACCCCATATAAGCCCCGCCCAGGCCCACGCTCGCATGTGTGCTTATAACGAACACGAGCCCTTGGGAAGCTGTTCTATTCATGGAAAAGCCATATGTGAAGATGAAAGAACGAGCCATACAGGTTGGGGGTTTGGTTGCTGTGGGTTGGGGAGGTGAGGAGGAGGAAGGAGAGGAGCGGGGTGAGCTTTTGCGCGCACGAGGAAAGGGAGGAGGAGGGAAGGGAGGAAAGGAGGAGGAGTAGAGGAGGGGGAGACGACGAGGGAAGTTGAGGGCCCCAGGGGTGGGATCGTCTGATTGGCTGGTGGAGGATGATGCCACGTCAGCAGCAGCGACGGAGAGGTCTGCGGCGAAGAAACGCTTCCGTGTGCTGCCACGTGTCAGCAGGGGAGTGGCTGGCGTGATGTAGGGGAAGGAGAACGAGTCTGCCGTCCAAAACGGAAGCGGATCCTCGGCTGATGGGGAGAACGGGGGGAAGGGGGAACGGAAGGGGAGGAGACGGGAGAGGAGGGAGAAGGAGAGGGTTGGGTGAAAGCGAGAGGACATCGAACCAATTCATATGCTAAGTGATGGGTAGGCATTACAAGGACACTTGTCAGCTGCCATGTGATGTGTCTGATTCCTCCCCTTACCTGCCTGTCTACCTGCCTCCTCAGAACATTGCAGGCCTAAAACAGGCCTGGGGATGACACTTGAACTGAACTCACCATCCTCGGAGTCAAACTTCCATCGTAGAGCCTCATGTGTTGACGAGAAAAGGCCCCACCTTGCTTGGTCGAAGCCGACTTCGTTGTCCCACCTCGATGGAGCTGTCTTCGGCGGTCAGCCGACTTCAGCAAAGCTGACCACTGCAAAACCGACTTCAACGAACGGCGAAGCCGACATTGTGGTCTGCGTTGACTTCGCGGAGCAAGTCGGACTGCGCGGAGCAAGTCGGAATGGTTAGCCGACTTCGGGGATCGACCACAGCAGAGCTGATTTCGGCGAAGCCGGCCATGGCATAGGCCGACGAAGTGAAGTCGGTGGTTGACGAAGGTCGTCGACATGACACCGAATTGCCGGCGCCGGCAACCTGGTCGACAAAGTCCTGCGAGGGGTGCGCGAACGTCGTCCAGGTGGTTTTGACGAAGCCGACCTACGTGCAATATCACGTGCGCACGAGGTCTGCGCGGCACATTTGGCGCAACTTTCGACATGTGGCCGAACGCTGAGCAATGTGCGTGACGGTGCACAGTCAACAGTCTACCTGCACCTAAGAAGCAGGTGCGCGCACATGCACATATAGTGACCTGCGGTTGCAACGTTCGCAAGCCGCCTTGCTGCAGCGTTGGCAAGTCGCACTGGTGCGCAGCTGACAGGTCGCCGACTTTCAGCGTTAGCAAGCCAACTTTGAGTTGCGTTGGCACGCCGTTGACTTGCCGCGCTGGCAGGCCGCCCCCGCGCTATGCTATGGATCAATTAGCCTGTTGCTAGTCTTGCTAGGTCCCAGATAGTCACCATGGCCACTCAAGTTTTCATAGTGAAACTCTTACCAATTTGCTCTGTGAGTGCGCAACTAGAGAGAACACGAGCAAACGATACGATCACTCATACCACCCGTGCCTTCCCCAGTAGTTCAACTTCCGATCTAGAATGACTCTCCATATCATGCGGGTACTAAACACGGCCGATGTTGATACATAACATACACATCCCTGAAAGTCACTTACCTTGGGTGGGCCACTTGCAAGTGTTGAAAAACACGAAATGATCCTATAGAATAATAAGAACAGGAATGAGGGCACTCGAACTCACCCTCCCCTACTTCAAACTTCCACCCTAGCACCTCATGCGCCTGTGCCTGCTCCGCCCCCTTGCCCGTGGCCGCTGTGAATCCCACAAACAGCGGCGGGGGAGGGGCTGCTGCCTCCGGGTCGTTCCCCCCCAGCCACTCGCAGGTGTCCAGGAATGTGCTCAGCACGGCCGAGCGCGGGAGAGGGGGGGCGGAGTAGGAGGAGGAGCGAGAAGAGGAGGAGGAGGAGGAGGAGGAGGAGGAGGAGGAGGAGGAGGAGGAGGAGGAGGAGGAGGAGGAGGAGGAGGAGGAGGAGGAGGAGGAGGAGGAGGAAGGGCGGGTCAACCGAGGGAAATCAGGGAAGCGAGGGGAGAAGCGAGAGGGGGAGGGGGAACGGGAGGAGGAGGGGGCAGGGGAGATCCAGACGGTGAGGTGGGAGGAGGAGGCGTTGTAGTGGATGGTGGCGAGGAGGGTTTGACCGGCGTTGAGGGACGGAATGCCGAGGGGGTGCACGGGGGCAGAGGCGAGAGAGAGCATGCTGCCGTGCAGGTTCACCCCCACGTGGTGGTCGGGGCGGTCGAAGAATTCAGGGGAAGAGGATGTGTCGAACTCCACTGCCAGGCTCCTGTGCTGCTGCGCGAATTGGGGGGGAAAGCAGGAAAGGTGGGATGGGGCATATTGAGAGATTCAGATGTAGAATTCCACTACAATAGCAGTTATATAAAGCTCGAAAGCACAATTTCAAGTAACCAAAGATAAAAAATGTCAACCATGGCCAAAGATACACGCATACATATGAGCGGTGGTAACTTCGTTAATTGTTTAGCTGAGTTTTAGCGACTGAAATTCCGTAGACGAGAATTTCCGCGACCAGAATTCTGTCAACTGAAAATGTAATTCCTGTTCTAGGAAGACACTTTTGAGACAGTTGGGTCGAAAGATCTCCAGTTCAAATCTTGCTTGCACCATATATTGTCTGTTTGCGTAACTCATCCCGAATCTGTCCAGAGACACTGTATATTGACAATCACGGCTTCAAACCCATGGCAGCTTTTCCTTCTAACAAAGACATAATTCCAAACGTCATGACTGGTCTCGCCATGCCCAGACACCTAATTCTGCACCATTGAGACCAAGATTTGAAACGCAAGAGGAGGTGTGCCTGAGATAAGGCTAAGATGACACGTACCTGAGATGACACTGCACCAATGGAGCCGGAATCATCAGCACCAATTGTACTCCCCGGGGGCAGCAGCAGGCGGCCGTAGCCCAGGGATGGCCCCGGAAGGCCGAGCGTGGGAGACGGCAGCATCACAAACGCCAAGCCCTCGCCGCCCAGCCCCGCGGCGTTGGGGGAGGAGATGCGCAAGGCAAAGGAGGTGGAGAAGGAGAAGGGGCGGCAGGGGGAGGAGGGCGTGGCAGGGGCGAGCAGGGCGAAGGGGGCAGGGTGCAACGCGAGAGCAGCAGCGCTGAGGTCGGAGAGCGTGGTGAGGGAGAGGGAGGAGCGGTTGCGACGTGCTGAGCCGGCTGTGAGGAGCGGGTGGGAGCTGGAGAGCGGCCAGTGGGAGAAGGACTTGAGGGGGGAGGGGTCGGCTGCAGGGCAGTGGGGGGAATGGGGAGTGGTGGGGGGGGGGTGGGGAGTGGAAGGGGGTGGGGGAAGGTGAAGGGGGGCGAAGAGTGGGAACAGAAGGGAAAAGAGGGGGATCGATGAGCAGAGCACATGAGTGGGGGGTTGGAACTTGGATGTTGAGAAAAGGTGCAGCGCATGCTTTCAGTTTGCTGTGCGGTGCAGCGCATGCTTTCAGTGTGCTGTGCGGTGCAGCGCATGCTTTCAGTGTGCTGTGCGTTGCAGCGCATGCTTTCAGTGTGCTGTGCGGTGCAGCGCATGCTTCAATGCGCAGCGCAACACATGCATTCTACCATCATGCCTGTGACACACCAGTTACCCTGTCAACCATTTCTGACTTTCTGACTCACTGCGAGTGGGCATGACAGACGCAAGGTCGATAGCCATGCTCCCCGCTTCCAACGCCACACCCAACCGCCTGTCCGCACCTACCTCCCCCGCTCACTCACCTGAGACTCTATCCCTCCGTACACCCCACCACACCGCCTCTCTCCTCACTCACTGCGAGTGGACATGACAGACGCAAGGTCGATGGCTGCTCCCCGCTTCCAACGCCACTCCCACGCTTCCCTTCCGCCTGTCCGCACCTACCTCCCCCTCTCACTCACCTGTGACTATCCCTCCGTGCACCCTGCCACACTGACTGTCCCTCTCTCACCCACACTCACTACGAGTGGGCATGACAGACGCAAAGTCGATGGCACTGCTCCCCGCTTCCAACGCCACTCCCTCTCTCTTCATCCCCACCTTCGCTCCCGCACCTGCTCCCGCTCCCGTACTCGCAGCAACAGTGAACGCGGCTGCTGCCGCCCTTGCTCCCACAACCCCCCCTGCTACTGTCTCACGTTGAGATACAGGCGCGGCATCCCCTGCTGCTATCCGCCCAGCTGCTGCTGCTGCCCCTGCTCCTGCTGCTCTCGTCAGCCCAGAGCTCCGGAACCGCCGTGGCCCCCAGGCCCGCCTGAGCAAGGAGAGCGGTAGCCTGGGGAACCGGAGCAGCCTTTGCAGGGCGGATGCAGCGTGGGAAAGAGCGGGGCGTGACGCTGATCGGATCAGGAGGCCCAAGGAGGAGATGGTAAAGCCGCTGCCCCCCCTGCTGTCAACAATAGTGCTGCTGCTGCTGGTTGTGGCTGTGTGGCTGGTGGCGCCGGTTCTACTGCTGTCACTGCTGCTGCTGGCAACACCGCTGACGGTGGCGACGGTGGCAACAGCGCTGGCGGTGGCGATGGTGGCAGTACTGCTGCTGGTGCTGCTGTTACTGCCTTGCATGGCTCGAATCACCAAGTGCAGCGTCACTCCCCCCTCAGGAACTACCAACGAGGCGATGGAAGAGGAAGAGGAGGAAGAAGAGGAGGAGGAAGAGGAGGGGGAATTCGGGGGGTCAGGGAGGGGGAAGAGGAGGGGTCCCACTTGGAACCAAGGCAAGGCGCCGGACAAACTCGCGCTGCTCCCCCCACACGGCACACCCACCCTCCACTCCCCCCACACCTGCTCCCCCGCTCCTCCATCCTCCGCCCCTCCCCCAGCTGCTGCCCCTCCCCCCCCTGCTGCCCCTCCCCCTGCAGCGGCGGCGGCGGAAGCGTTGAGCGGAACTGCCAGCAGCAGCACCTTCAACAGCCGCTCCCCCTCCCCGTCCGCACCCCCTCCCCCCTCCGCGCACAGGCTGGCGCGCGCAAAGAACGAGACGGACAGCTGGCGCGGGGACTGCTGCTGCTGCGCTTGCTGCGAGACATTGTTGGTCTGCGCCGCGGGTTTGAGTTCGCACAGCGCTTGCGACACGCCTGGGCCGCCAAACGCGCTGCTAATACTACTGCTACTACCGCTGCTAGACGACGCGGGAAAGACGGAAGTCAGCCGTAAAAAACGGGACCCGTCAGCTGCCAGTAGGGTGTCCGTGACTCCTGTGACCCCGTTCCTGATTGACACGTCAGCAGGTGACGCCGGCCCCCCTCCTGCTGTCGCGACCGCTTCCGCCAGAGTCGCACCCGCTGGAGCAAACAATGTTCCGCGGTTTCCGCCGCCAGTTGCGGTAGCTAAGAACTCGTCGCTTAAGAAGGATTCCCCAGGTTCCAGCGCGCGCCACGGGAATAAATACGCCCATGGATCGCACGACGCGTTCAGCTTCTTGCGACGCCATCCTATATCGAGACAGCCTGTATCGAAGCTTGGGTTCGAGAGGAGATTTGACGGTTCACCTGTGACGGCCAAAGAAGAGGGGGTATAATGACAGATAATATAAAATTTACTGGGTAATTGAGCGGGTAGCAACGAGACCTCTAAAGATACAGTTTTGCCAGCTCAGCTGCACGTTGACGGCAACATCTAGGGTATGAACGAATAAACGGGAGGAGCGGAATGCATACCGGCACGCGACCGTAAAGGGGCTTACATTGAGAGGAGGAAGAAGGGGGTATGGTAGGAGGCAATAGGAACGAGTTAAATGTGGAATTATCAATACGTCTGGAGAGTGACGAATGATGATTCTATGGGGATCCGTCTCTACTAAAGGTGTGCTTACGACTCGACTAGATATAATAGTGACGAAACCGTAATTGGCGGTGATACCAAGAACGGGAGAAGCGGGGCCTCTTACTTGGATTCGTTAGGTTATAGCAGTCGACGAGACCGCGAGCGACACGAACGAAGGCTACGAAATATAGGAGAAACGTAACCCGTCGGAATTTCGCGACACAGTGAAGGCTCGTGGCCGCTGGGTGAACCCGCAATCTGCGGCGATAAATGCGGAAGTAATCCATCTGCTCCATCGCACGAAGAAATGTGGCTTCCAGCAATTAGCTGGAAGCCTTCCTGGTGACTCCCGTTTTCGGGAGTCCTGTCAATCTGCTTTCAATACTGGGGGGTAATTGTGGGGCAACAGAACCACCCTGCAGTCAACCTGCGCACTGCCGAAACCAACCTGCGAGGCGATTGAAATGTGTAAGTTGCGCATTGCATGTCAGTTGGGGCGAGTAATCTAGTTTGTTACTTTCGGAAACGAAAAGAAGGCCCTCGCACAGGCGAGAATTGATTAGTTCAGTTGCAACCACTCGCGTAACAAAATTGTTCAAGCTGGTTACCGCGTGATAACAATATGCGTATGTATAAAAGCGATAAAGAAAAGTTTAGTGGATATTTGTTCCTATTGGAGATGTGACAAGGCGACATTTAATTGAGATAACTACACTGCTAAAATTATGATCAGTAGAATTTCGAATGGGTTTATTATCAACAAATCAAAACAATTCCCGAATTATAATTAACTATTATTAAACGCTTACAATACTAATTGGTTAGAAATTAATCAACAAAATATCACATACTAAACCTACATATGCACTACAGCTACATAAAGCTACTAAACATCCTCTACAATCTGCCAATCCTCAACAATGACATCTCCAAAATAGTAGAACCCACTGACTAGTGGAATGCTAGCGTGACGGACCCAGCTCTCAACCTGGAACTTCCTCTTGGTCATTTCGCGGGTGTTGTTCTCGGAATCAGAAAACATGCTGCTTCGATCGCGACATAGCATCTCAAACTCGACCTGCCAAGAAAAGAGCGAAATTAGCCGGTTGAAAACGGCAAGATAAAGCATTATAAATGCATGTTCGCTCACCGCGACCATGGTGTAGCACAGCTGGTCAATGCTCAGGGTGTAGATACCCCCCTCTTTCTTCTGCCACTTGCTTGCAGCAGCTAAGAACGCCTCGCTACAGAACGGCTTGTTCTCGTCAACATGCCACGGCAGGCCAAACTCCTCTGAAATTAAAAACACAGGAGTCACAAACAAGTCATAACTAGAGCAACAGCAATAAGATAACTCACGTACCAGAGACACAGGCTCGAGCATAATTGCGCCGATCCTCAACGGAGTTTTGAACGACTTTGCCATCAGGGTACTTCAGCAGCTTGAAACTCGCCTTCCGGGACTTGTTCCCGAGTTTCCCCCGCCGGCCGTTACAAATGTCGGTGCACCTCTTCGCCCACTCGCCCTTCTTCCAGTAGTCGTTAAACTTCCCGAAGTCTTCGGGCTCCAGAGCGAGATGAACCACAACGGCCGCCTTGAACTGCTCTTCGTCAGGGTAAATGACTCGCTGGGAGACATCTGATCCCTTGAGCAAATCATTGCATGCCTTCTTACAGGCATCCTGCGAAAAGAACGAGAGTTTAGAACATACACGCGTAAGCCAGACAAAACAATAAGCAAATAACGGACACTTACTTCCATGGTTTTCTCGTTGCACCAGCTCGGCTGGTGCACAATTTCGAGAAGATTCTTGACAGTAGCAGCCAGAGTCTGGTGGATCTCATCCGATACACGAAGCCGGTTTTCAATTCGCAGCATCAAAGTGCGAACGTCTTTCAGCTCGCCGCATATGGCAGCGTCGATGTGGTTGTACGAGTTGGCCTCGGGGTGATGAACATCACGATCTGACGAGTGCACACCTGAAAACACAAGGGAGGTTTCATTAGAGCAAAACGTCATGACACTTAAATATTTATAATAAGGCCAAATGAAACAATGGAGTGAACGCTGACAGAAACAGAATAGTAATCAGTAAAACGTACCGCCAGTTCTAGCGGATGCGATGACATTTGCCGTAGCACCAGGTTGCGCCACGTGTGCGGTAGCGTTCGAAGCGTGGTTGGGAGAGGCAACTCCATTGTCTGCTGTGTGCTCGGCCTCAAGTGCCTCAAGGTCTTGCAGAGGCTGGGGTTCCGCAGGCTGAGCGCTCGGGGTACCCACCTGCTGGGCTGGAGTAGAAATTCTACGAGCTCCTGTGGTTGGGCTACCAAGCTCGTAGCCTTCGAGACGCCTGTTAGAGGTTCGGGATCTCTTACGCTGCAACTCCATTATTTCTGGGGGCACGCCTACCGCCATGTTTCCTAAAGTGCCCACTAACAGGCAAAGGCCACGTAGATGAAAACGAGGCAAAAAAAATAGTGGGACTAGGCGAACTTTGAGAATGAGAGGAAGCTCGGCTGGTTGGAAACGAAGAGAAGCTGCTCTGGTAGGGTACGAGATGAGTAGCACAGGTCGTTGGTATCGATGACTAAGAGGCATGTTGCGATGGGTATTGTTGACAGCGTGAAGGTTCACCCCGAGCTACTTCACAAGCAAATTATTACACCGATACCACACTTTGCGAGAACAGTGGACCAAACCCTTCACCTGGACTTTAATCAACGACCCTGCTCGAATGGACCAGAGCGTTAAATGCTAGTGCGATAGATGATACATCGCACTTAGTTGCTAGTCGTTTAGTAAGTACCGAACAGCATTACACAGAACATGCGAATTCTACTAATGAAAAGGTGCTTTGGTTCATTTTTCAAAACGAGATTGTCCTTGAAATACGCCAAAACGCTCCACACATTGGTGCTGTATCTGGCAATGTATGGTCTCACGACACATACGTGGCAGACAACGCGACAACTGCGCCGCTAAACAACGAACTATTCAGCGAACAATGACAGAGCAAAAAGTTTAGTGACGTGTATCTTTCAAGGCGTGGTCGCTAGGCATGGAAGTCCAACGAATGAGAGGCTTGCCTGCGAAACTGGCAACATTGTCGAAGTCACTGGAAGGCTGACAGCTGTAAGTGACGTCCTGCGAAGCTGTTACGAAGGACCCATTTCTACTTTGCATCGAGCCAGACAAACCTTAACAATGGCATGGTGGACACAGCACAGCAGCCAGATAACTGCGCGCTAGCCAACGAGGCAGGAAAGGTTACCCAGTTGCGCGGCAGCATGCCAGCAAGCAACTGTGTAATGATTACTAGCGTGGCACAACATCGCCAACAACGCACGGGTGAATGTTACACTTCCAATCGGAACAAGGGATAATAGGGGAGAAATAGCGGACTCGTTTCAACAAGCGATGCTTATAATATTCGGAGTACAGAACTGATTGTGTTATGTCCATCGTTTTTTAATAAAATTTGAACTTGTTCATAACAAAGAGCCCCTCACTGACCGAAACCATATGAGCTACGCGCAGAATGTTATCAAGCTCAAGCAGTTGGTACTCGTTGTCACCTGCCTCCCAAGCATACACCGGGCATTTTGATGTGTGCACCGCACCAGTGGCTCTGAAATAGCGGACAAATGCGTACGCGCGCTTGGAAAACGCCTTTGTCTCTGGCGTGTACAAGTCGATGGTAAACAACAGCAGGAGTCTTGCATACCATATCACCTTCCGCCTTGTCGTTTGGCCTCCTGCAGCCTCAACCTCCTCTTCACCAAGCACTGCTACATCGTTGAACCATGGTTTGTCGCCGAAAGACGCGCACGCTCGCACATAATGTGTCTGACTGGAGTACTTGGTGAAATCCACGTCGCCTGGAATAGCCATGCCGTTCTTCACACGTATGGTACCATTTAGTACCTCGCCTTCCTCGGCCTTGCCTTCCAACAGCCCCGCGAGCTTGGTCATGTCACCCGGCGCGGCCAGCGCATGTGCTTTCTGTCAGAATATTATAGCTTACTTATTTGTGTAGGCTAAAGTGGGGTATCCCATAGGGGGTACAACACAACTAGAGTTTCCTATTTGTACTCACTTCATTCATAGTCATTTCATTCTCGTTCTAACTTTCTCATGGTATCGAGCAGGTTCCCCCGTGGGAACTGTGCTTAGGGCCCACCACATCGAACCTTTTTTTTTCTGCCCGGAGCGCGCTCCGGGCCCTTGCTCTTACTTTTTTTTCGATCTGCCCTAACGGCCCGAGCGCCGCCTTAGCGAGCCGCCCGCCCTAGCAGCCCGAGCGCTGCCTTAGCGCCCGCGCCCCGCTGCTCGCCCTCGCGCCGCCTTAGCGGCCTCGCCGCCCTGCTCTCGCGGCCCTCGCCGCCCTTCCTCACGCGGCTCCGCCGCCCCTGATCTCGCGGCCCCGTCGCCCCTGATCTCGCGGCCCCGCTGACCCTGAAAGCGCGGCCCTCGCCGCCCCTGATCTCGCGGCCCCGCCGCCCAAGCGCGCGCGGCCCCGCCGTCCCTGATCTCACGGCCCCGCCGCCTCAGCGCTCACGGCCCCCTCCGCCCCTGATCTCGCGGCCCCTCCGCCCCAGCGCTTCCGGCCCCGCTGCCCCTGATACCCGGCCCCGTCGCCCCGGCGCTCCCGGCCCCGCCGCCCCAGCGCTCCCGGCCCCGCCGCCCCTGATCTCACGGCCCCGCCGTCCCTGATCTCACGGCCCCGCCGCCCCAGCGCTCACGGCCCCGCCGCCCCTGATCTCGCGGCCCCGCCGCCCCAAGCGCTCCCGGCCCCAGCCGCCCCTACTACGCGGCCCCGCCGCCCCTGGTCTCGCGGCCCCCCCCCCCGCCCCAGCACTCACGGCCCCGCCGCCCCTTACTCTCGCGCCGCCCAACTGCAGCAGCTGAGCCGCCCACCTGCAGCAGCCGAGCCGCCCGGAGCAGCCAAGCCGCCCAGGAGCCGCCGAGCCGCCCAGCAGCAGCCGAGCCGCCCAGCAGCAGCCGAGCCGCCCGGAGCCGCCGAGCCGCCCAGCAGCAGCCGGGCCGCCCGGAGCCACCGAGCCGCCCAGCAGCCGCCGAGCCGCCCAGCAGCAGCCGAGCCGCCCAGCAACAGCCGAGCCGCCCGGGAGCCGAGCCGCCCAGCAGCCCAGCGGCCGTGTCGCCAGGCGACCTTCCTCCCGAGCCGCCCGACCTGCCCTGCCCGGTGAGCACTGCACTGCTGTCACTGCGTACCCTTCCCCTACTGCTTGCACTGCTCCACTGTCGTCGTCATGGCTACACCCAGTGTCCTCGCTTTTGACGCTGAGGGTCGAGCCATTGACTTTGAGGTCTGGCTCGACTACCTGCAGCTGTTTTTACAGTGCGACAGGGCCGACGGTCTGTCTCTCTTTGACCTCACCTCTGGCGCCGTCCCTGCCCCTGCTGCTGATGCTGACGCCACTGTTCGCTCTCAGTGGGCCACGCGCGATGCTGCTGCACGTCTTGCTGTGCGTCGCCACCTGCCTACCGCTGAGCGCGCGCACTTTAGCCAGTACAAGAGTGCTCAGACCTTGTACGACGCTGTAGTTGCGCGCTACTCCTCCCCTGCCACTGCTGCACTGAGCCGCCTCATGCTCCCCTTCCTCTTCCCTGACCTTGCCGCCTTTCCCACTGTCGCTGATCTCATCACGCACCTCCGCACTAGTGACACTCGCTACCGCGCTGCGCTTCCTGCTGACTTCTGCGCCAAGAACCCCCCCCCCCATGTACATCACTCTCTACTTCTTAGTCACTCGCCTCCCTGACTCCCTTCGTGTAGTCCGGGACGACTTCCTCGCGGTCTGTCCCACCACCCTCACAGTCGACAGCCTCGAGAAGGCCCTCCTTGCAGCAGAGAAGAGCATAGTTGCTATAGGAGCCTCTCGAGGTGACCCCCGCGCCCCCATCTTTGAGGGGTGTTCTCCTTCCCCTCTCCTGCCCTCTGTCGCCTCTGCCGCTGCGGCCGACCTCGTTGGTCTTGAGTCGGTCGGTGCGGCGTCTGCCCCTAGCGGGAGACGCCGCTCTGGCAAGGGCAAGGGGGGCAAGGGATCGGGTGGGGCCAGTGGGGGCGGTGGCGGTGGAGGTGGAGGCGGCGGAGAGAGTGGGGGTGGCGGTGGAGGTGGTAGCGGGGGTGGGGGTGCTAGTGGCAGCAGTGGAGGCGGGAGTGGCGGCGGTGGTGGCGGTGGTAGCGGAGGTGGCGGAGGTGGTGGCGGTGGCGGTGGAGGCGGAGGCGGGGGTGGCGGAGGTGGAGGTGGTCGGAGTGGAGCTTCGCAGCGGAGCGGCACTGGTGGCGGTCAGCGCCAGCAGCAGCAGCAGCAGCAGCAGCGTTCTCGCGACGTCCCCACCCCTCAGCAGCTCCGTGAGTGGTACACGCAGCGTCAGCGCGGTGGGGGTTTTGGTCCCTGCACCTACGTTCTCCGCACTGGCGACCGCACTGGAGAGCAGTGTGGGGGTGCCCACTCCGCCCAGCGCTGCTTTGGCCGCCTGACGGACGCTTGGCGTCAGCAGTTCCCGGAGGCCGCGGAGATCCCCCGCTGGGGAGAGCTGTCTAGGGCTGGTGTAGCTATCTTTGATCTTGATTTTGATGCTATCCTTGCTGCCATGTATGCTGTGACCATTAGTGAGGAGGGTGACTGTTACCGGTGTTTCCCGCCCGACCCGGGCATTGGTACTGCTGCTCCAGGTGCCGGTGAGGCTTCTGCTCTAGGTGCCAGTGCGTCTGTGCTCTCAGGTGCTCGTGAGACTGCTCTCTCAGGTACTAGTGAGGCTGCGCTCTCAGGTACTACGTCGGCTTCGGCCTCCCTCACCTTCACTCTTGACTCTGGAGCGTCTCGCTCTTTCTTTCGGGACCGCACCACACTTACGCCGCTTAGTCGGCCGGTTGCGGTTTCCCTGGCTGACCCAACTGGGGGTCCTGTCCTGTCTCGCTTCTCCACAGTCCTCCCGTGTCCGGCGGCTCCCTCTGGCACCCTGTCTGGTCTCTACCTCCCCTCGTTCTCTACGAACTTGGTGAGTGGTGCTGACCTACAGGATGCGAGAGTCCACCAGTTCACCCCTGCTAGTCAGCGAGTGACGCACTGCACGGAGGCTAGCACGGGTCGTCACCTGGCTACGTTTACACGTCAGCCAGGGTCGAGCCATTACACACTGACCACTGCTTCTCCTCCAGGTGCTGAGTCTGGTAGGGTCCCTTTGTCTGGTCAGGTGTTTGCTGCAGCGTCCAGGTCTGGTCCTGAGTCTGCCCCCTGTTCGTGTCGCCGTCTGTCTCACGAGACCCTCCTCTGGCACCACCGCCTTGGCCACCCCTCTCTGCTTCGGCTCAGAGGCATGGCCTCCCGTCTTCTTGTGTCTGGTCTCCCCCGGTCTCTACCTCCCCTTCCTCAAGGCCCTGGCCCTGCCTGTGTCCCCTGTGTCGAGGGGCGCCAGCGTGCTGCCCCTCACTCCTCCCAGTTTCCTCCGACAGAGGCTCCGTTGCAGACGCTTCACATGGACCTGTGGGGCCCTGCCCGCGTCCATGGACTCGGTCACGAGCGCTACTTCCTGCTGGTGGTTGACGACTACTCGCGTTACACCACAGTCTT